TGGGTTTTTTAAAATTTCCCCGGCCCCTTTTTTCCCCCTTTCCCCCCCCCCCCCCCCCCCCCCGTGCATGTCTGCCGCAAGCTGGGCATTATGCGCTGGCCCTTCCGCAGCAGCGCCGCCAAGTTTGTGCAGCAGAATGGCCAGCTGTTGCCGCTGCTGCCGCAGCAGTACGACCAGATGCAGCACCAGTTTCAGTTCCAGCAACAGCCACCACAGCTGCCCAATCAGGCGGCGTTCGTAGCCGCCGCCGCTGCAGCCAATACGGCCCAGCCGCAGGGCTTGATGCAGGGGGCCGGCTTCGGTGAGGCCACTTTGAATAGCCCATCTGGCGGCAGCAGTGGCATGGCTGTGCAGCGGCAGCTGCTGGGTCAGCAGGGCCAGGGTCCTCAGTCGCTGGGCCAGCTGCTGCAGGCCCTGGCGAGCTCCCAGCAGGCGGCGGCAGAGGCGGGCGCTGGCCACCTGCTGCCCGCCAACCTGCAGCAGTTTGCGGCGCACCTGCAGCAGCAGCAGCAGCAGCAGCAGGCCCTGCAGCAGCAGCACATCACCATTGTAGAGCTGTTGCAGCGCCTCGCCCAGCCGGCAGCACCTGCACGGGGCCCTCCTGCGGTCCTGGAAAGCATTGCCGGCATGCTCCCGCCGTCTGCGGCGGCGGGGGCCCCAGCGTTTGCTGCACAGCTGACGCTGCTGCTGCAGGGCGCAGTGTCAGCCCCGGCCCAGCAGCACCCGCAGTCCCCAGCTGCCCCTACTGCCAACGTGCTGCACCAGCTGCTGTGCCTTGCACGCGCACAGCCATCGGGCCAGCACCAGCAGCCGGCCCAGCACCAGCAGCCCACAGGTCAGGCCTGGGCAGGGCCCTCGCCAAAGCCTGCCGTCCACGAAGCGGCGCCCTCTCAGCAGTCCGCTGCCACGGCTGCACTGCAGCCCGCTGGGGCCAGCGCCACAGCGACTCAAGCAGCAGATGTGCAGGAGCAGGCTCAGCTGCTTGCTGTCCTAGCGAAGCTCGCAACGGCAGCACAACATGCAAATGCCGCTGAGCCGCCAGTGCTGTGGGCGCAGGCGCAGATGCCTTCCAGTCAGGAGGAGCCGAAGCAGCCGATGGCGCAGGCGCACGGCATGGCGGCCGCGTCCCAAGTGCTGGCGGCACTGATGGGCTCTTTCTCTGCCAGCCCCACCAACGGCTCATTGACCCAGATGGGGTGGGCCCAGTAAACGCGTGCGCAGCAAACATGCGCCCCCCATTCAATCCATTCGGCCCTCCTTGAGGGCCATATACGTACCCCACCTCTCCCTGTACCCTTTGGAAATGAGTATGCCGCCCTTACCATCTTGGGACTGTGCCGAGTAATTTCACGACTTAACTTGCCTTTCAGACACCATTACACATCTGCGTTCAGTGCCACGGCAGCCTGCGTGTGTTTATATACCACTCCTCCCAACCTCGTTCACTCGCTTGATTAGGCCGCTGCCCTGTTTTCCTTTTGTTGACACCTGCCCCGACCCACGGGCCATTTCTTTTTCCTATGATGAATCCTCATCTTCATTTGTTCTGTACCTAGTAGTATGCTACTGCCCCAAACCCCCTCCTTCCCTCCCCCGCATCGAGCCCTGACTGTCCTTGGCCACTACTGCCACCGCCGTTGGCTGCGAGAACCGCTCCTCTCTCCTGATCCCGCCCCTGCCGTCTAGCAGCATGTGCGATGCAATCCCCCTGCCTCTGCTCCTGCCCTCGTTTGGCGAACCTGAGACTCTGTGTAAACCGCCAACATGGCAGGAAGCATTCACGTTACAAGCAAAGCAGGGATCGCCAGCAGCAGCAGCGTCCCCTCCGCCCCTCACGCAAAGTGGATACCCGCGGTGTTGAAGACGGCCAGCAGCTGCAGGAAGTCGTCCTGCGTCATCTTGGCGGACCGGCGCTCCAGGAACCCCGACCCTGACAGGACCTCCACCACCTGCTCCTTGAACCCCTCGCTGGCCTTGCCGCGCCGCCGCCGCGCGCTGCCGCCGCCGCCGCCGCCCGCCTGCTGCCCCTCCGCCCCATCCTCCCCGTCCTCCTCCATGTCGTCGTCGCTGCCGCCGCCGTCTGCTGCACCAGGCGGGAGGCGAGGCGACAGGGCGGCGGTCAGGCAGCGGTCGGGCCGCGGCAGCAACCCGCACGCTGCACATCCAGTCCCTTACCCAGCCGCATCGCAGCACCACCAGCAACCCCACCTCCCACCCACACCTCTCCGCCCCCACGCACCCCCTGCTACCGCCGCCGCCGCCGCCGCCTGCTCCGCATCCATGGCCAGCCGGTTCACCGCCGCCACCAGGTCCACCTCGCCGCCGTCTGCCGCGCGGTGCAGCGCCTGCGCCACCGCGTAGTTCTGCTCCAGCAGCGCCAGCGTGTTGCCCTGGCGGAAGATGGCGCCCAGCGTCTTGTTCTTCCTGCAGCGCGCGGGGGAGCAGAGGGCAGTGCAGGGCAGTGGAGCGGAGTGGTGGAGGGGAGGGGAGCAGGGTAGCGGAGCGGTGGCCGGGTGGGGGAGAGGGAGAAGGCGCAGACGTGCGTGTGGGAGTGGAGCAGGGGCGGTCGACTCAGGCGGGCCTGTGCGCCCCGCTGCACGCGCCGTGCCCCACCTGCCAAAGCAGAGGCGCACAAGGCCGTCCCACTCCAGCAGGTTGACGGGCGGCGCCGGGTTGCGCGGCTCGATGCGAACCACGCTGGAGTCGACCTTGGGGGGCGGCCGGAAGTTGTTCCGGCCCACCTTGAGCAGGTGGTTCACCCTGCAGGCAGCCCGGGGAGGCGTGGGGAGCCACCTGGAAGGGCAGGTGGGGCGTGCGGGGCCGGGCTGGCAGGCAGGCAGAGGCAGGCGAGGCGGGCGGGCACGCGGCAGCCGCTGGCTGGCTGGCTGGCAGAGGGGGAGGGCCGCCCCCGCCCCCGCGCTGCCACCCACCTGGCCAGCAGCTGCGTGTTGACGGCCAGGCGCGAGTAGGCGGGGTCGCCGGGCTTGGCCACCAGGCGCATGGCAAACTCGTGCTGGTACATGATGACCGCGGCGCGGAAGCAGGGCCTGGGGGCGGGGCGGGGCAGGATGGGCGGGGTGTGGCAGCGCTGGCGCCGCCCACGGCGGGAAAGCGCGGCAGCCGGCTGCCTGGCCAGCGCCACCCCCTCCCTCCTGGACCAACCCCATCAGATACATCACCCACGCCAGGCAGCATGGATGGGCGCCCGCCCCACCTGTGCGCCAGCAGCTTGAATGTGAGGGGGGAGGAGATTTGGTAGGGGATGTTTGCCACGCAGATGTCAAAGTAGGGCAGCTGCACCTTCATCACGTCGCCGTGGATGATCTGCAGCTGATTCTGGTAGGGAGTGCCCTGCACCAGGCACACCGGGCCGGGCAAGCAGACACCCAGGTGGGCGGCAGCGTGACACACCGCTTAGCTGCAGGCTGAGAGCATAGGGTGGCAGCAGAGCAGGGCCCGGGGCTGGCAGCCGTCCGGGACAGATGGCGTGGCCGGCTTCTCCCCGCAGGCTTGTCCCCGCCCGTGCGCCCGCCAGCTGGCATGATGCCGACCGCGCGTCCCCAGCGCCCGCACCTGCACCCGCCGCGTCAGCTCCAGCACCATCCTGGGGTCTAGCTCCACAGCAATCACCTTCTTGGCCCGCTCCAGCAGCTTCATGGTCAGGTTGCCCGTACCTGCGGGGGAGGGGGAGCGGGGGTAGCAGGGCAGGGCAGGCCACGCGTCAGTGGCAGGGGGGTGCCCAGCATTCATTGGCAGGAGCCTGTCCACCATCGCTGGGCCCTCGCATTGCGCACGTGCGCATTGTGCACGGGAGGAGCCTGGTCACAGGGTTCGTCCCCTTCCTAGCAGCTCATTGCTGGCAGGCAGACTCGGGCTCACCGGGGCCAATCTCCAGCACCACGTCTGTGGACTTGATGCCCGCCTTGTCCACGATAGACTGCACCACCAGCGGGTTTTTCAGAATGTGCTGGCCCTTGCTCTTGTGGAACTCGATGCCTGCGGGGCAGGCAAGCACCAGCGGTGGGTGGCAGCGGGCAGCACCACGACCACGCGCTGAAAGAGCATGCGCCATGGGCGGGGTGGGCCACGCTGAGATCACTCCCCCAGCTGCACTGCACCCGCCCTTTGGCAGCGCCAGCCACCGGCGGCGGCAGGCGGCAGGCAGCGGCGGCAGGCGCATATGCGGCGGCACACGCTGCGCCGCGGAGCCCTGCTCAGACCGCAGCTGTGGCACTGCAGGTAACGCAGGAAGGGGAGATGCAGTGTGCAGGAGGGCAAGCGCACCTGAGAACCCGCCCGCCGCCTTTTTGGCCGACCTCTTCGCCACGCCTCCCGCGGCTCGCAGGCCAGACATGGCTGCTTGCTGCTTATAAAAGCGCTTGAAAAGAGGGTTTCTCAGCTCCCAGCCTCACTGCTCATGCAGTGCCGCCAGCCAGCTGTGTGCAGTGGGAACAATGTAGCAGGAGAGCAGAGCGATTGAATATAGAAGAAGCGAAGAATGGGCTGGAGAGCATCCAGCGCCGCCGCCGAGGTGGCGGGGGCGGGTGGCACGACCAGGCACCGCGCAGAAAGAAGAACCAGAATTGGTGGGGATAGACAAAATTGTTGTGCATTGCTTTCTGTGACGACGAGTACTGAACGTTCATTCAGTCCGCCACCAGCCTGACCCAGCCCCGGCGAGCGCTGCACTGGCCACCGTGCATGTCGAGCTCCAGCAGGCGTGGCGTCGTGGCCGTGCAAGCTTCGGGCAGCAGCGTTTCTATCATGGCATACACTGCATCGGAGAGAGCCAGGGCACTGCAACACTCAGGTGCAGGCTGTGAGACCGCTGACAAGCATCTGGCACATGGCGTGCCCACCTGCTTCTGGGCACTGGCAGGACGCAGGGCTGACGATGACGTCGGGGCTGCGTTGGTGGCGCAGCTCCAGATGCTCGCTGCGCTCGTCGCCGCGCCGCCCCATCAGCAGCGTGAGGTGGGAGCGGCGGAACAGCGGCGACGCCTCCTGACAGCAGGACGGCAGACGTGGAAGAGTTGGCAGCAACTCGTGCTCCAGGTGTGAAAAGCAACCAGGCCGGAGCCCGACCTTGCTGCAACAGCACGCCTGCCTCTCACCTCCACTGGCTTGTTGTTGGGCCCCAGTATGAGCCACGTGAGGTTCTCTGGACCCAGCAATGAAGAAGTCAACAGATTTAGAGCAGTAAATGCAGAATGCAGCCAGTGCAGTGGAAGCGGCGGCAGCCGGCCACTCACCCACATATTTGAAGCCCTGCTTGGCCATAAACCGCACCGCCTGCGACGTCTGCCCCTTGGCAGCCCAGAGGAACAGCAGGCCGCTGCTCATGACGCGGCGATCCAGCTGCAGCTGGCTGCACAGCATGTCAAACGTCAGCGTGCTGCCGCTGGTGTTGGCCCCAGACAAGCCTGCATGGTTGATGAGCACACCCAGGAAGCCAGTGCCCAGCTGCGACAAGGAGTAGCCCAGAAAGTCACTGGTGTGGACCACGCTGCCGCCGCTGGTATCCGAGGTGCTGCCAGGGCTGCTGCCTGCGCCACTGCAGCAGCAGGGCCTGCTGCCTGCGCCACTGACAGCAGCAGGGCAGTAGGGTGCCACGCTCCGGATGCCTGCCGCCGAGGCCTGCCAGCCAGGCCAGCGGGCAGGGTCACCCTGATCCAGGCGGATGAGAGACACACGAGAACCAAACTCGCCACCGCCATCCATCGCAGCTGCCGCACCAGCCGCACCACCCTTGGCCCCTGCTGCAGCCTGCTTCTTGCCGCCCGTTGGCGCAGGCGGGGCAAGCTTGGGCGGCGGAGGCGGCGCCAGCCACGGCTTCAAGCTGCCAGCGACAAACTCATCCTCATCGCTGCTACTGCCAGGTGCTGCCATGGCGGGTTTGTGCTGCTGCTTTTGCTGCCGCTGCTGCTGCGGTGGGCCCCGCGGCCGTTGCGGCTTGCCAGCAGGCGCCGGCCACGGCTTCTTGGCAGAAGCCTGTTGGCCAGTGCTTGCAGCAGCGTCTGCTGCCTGCCGCTTCTGCCCGTTGGGTTGCTTTGCTGGCTGCTGCTTTGCTGCAGCTGGGGTTTGTGCCGTACCAGTACGTTGCCTGGTGAGTTCTGCATTGCCAGCGCTGGCGCCGCTGCGCCGCGACGGCACGCTCTCCTCAAAATCGTCAGAGCTGTCGACGAGGGGCTTGCACGCTGGCTCCAGCAAGACCGGCGCATCACGTGCTGGTCTATCCTGCTGCATGCCGCCACGGTAAAAAGCACATTGGCCGTGTCGCGTGCCTTTTTAGGAGAGGACAGTGCCAGCTGGCAACAGCCGCAGCTTTTCCGTTACCTGCAGTGCCCGCAGCACCCAGAACCCTGCAAGCTGTCAATTGTGGATGCTTCCTGGGTCTGATAAGCAGAGATAGGGCAGGAAGCCGCAGCCAGACAGGCACAGGGTGCGCACTGTGAAAGCAACTGGCGGCGGCGGAGGCAGGGCGGCACGGAGCGGGTTGCAGCGGTGCCAACTGGATGACTAGAGCGCCTCTCAGACGAGCTGCAGCACGCACCTCGACCCTCCAGACAAGGTTGGGGGCTTGCTTGCACGCCGGCGGACCGATCCAGCTCTGGGTGGGTGAGTGCTGACTGCTGAAGAGGTCCCCGACTGGGCTCCAATCGATGGTATCAGCGGTATGGGCGATGACGAATGAGAAAAAGGGCTCCGTTGCCGAAGAACGCTCTAGCAGAACAGTTGTACAGGGGCGCGTGGTTTTTGCAAGCTGTTTCTCCGCCTCGACTATTTAATCCGTGCCACGTCTGCTCCTGCAACTCGCTTGCCTCTCCACGCCCGCTCTGCTCTGAAACGCCCCTGCCATCTCGCACTTCACTTTCTCACAGCCCCACGGCCCCTGCTCAACAGCAGCGGGCATAGCATGGCGGACGCCCAACCGCCTGCAGCAGCCCAGCCGCCGCTCCCAGATGCCGGGGCGGCAGCTCCGCCACCGCCGCGCTCTGATGAGGCCGCAGCTGCAGCGGCAGCACCACCGCCGCCGCTGCCAGACGCGCCAGCGCTGCCAGCAGGAGGCGCAGAAAGCAGTGGAGCGCCGCCGCTGCCTGGGGCTGGACCGGGCGAGGCGGTAGACGCAGGCGCTGGGCCGCCAGCGGCGGATGCGCCGCCGCCGCTGCCCGAGGAGGATGAGGATGAGGACCCGCTGATTGTGGCGCAGCGGGAGCGCGAGGCAGCAGAGAAGGCCAAGGAGGCGGCAGCGCTGGAGATCCCACCTTACGATGAGGAGGCGCTCAAGGTGGGGGGTCAGCTGGCCTGCCAGCAGGCCCGGCTGGCCAGAGGCCTGCTGCCTGCTGTGGAAGCTTTGCTGCTGTTGCTGTTCCGGCCACCTGTTGCGCTGTTACCAGCACTGCGCTCTCAGCCTCGCCTCCCGCCTTCTCGCCCTGGGCCTGCGGCTGCAGGAGTTTTACACAGACCTGAAGGATGCGGAGCGGGAGGGCGAGGTGAACCGCATCCTGGGCGCCTTCAAGCTCAACCCCTATGAGCAGCTCAACCTGCACCACGATGCCACCCCCGAGGATGTGCGGCGACAGTACCGCAAGGTGGGTGGGTGGGGGCGCGTGGCGGCAGCATGCCCAGCACGCTGGCTGGGAGCTGGGCGTGCACAGAGCTTGGAGCGGCAGCACTGGTGGCTGCCTGCACTGGCAACCAAGCAACATGCAGCCGCACCACATGCCCCCGAGGAGCCGCCCTCGCACCAACCACCCCCCGCCTGCAGGTGTCCCTAATGGTGCACCCCGACAAGTGCAAGCACCCGCGTGCCAAGGATGCATTCGAGGTGATTGGCGCCGCACAGAAGGAGCTGCTGGATGAGGAGAAGCGAGCCAAGCTGGAGTTCCTGCTCAACCACGCCAAGGGTGCGTGCATGGGCTGGCGCCACGCAGGCGCAGCTCGGGTGTGCCCTGTGGGAGTTGGGGGAGCCGGCAGCGGATGCTGTTGGCAGGGCAGGCGCACTGTTGGCTGCGCCGTGGGCGTCGTCTGCCACCTGCCAAGCACCGCCCACACCTCCCGCCTCCTGCCGCGCACCCCGCTGGCCCTGCCCTGCAGAGGAGGTGAAGAAGGAGTGGAAGAAGGCGGCCAAGGGCGATGCGGCGGTGCGGCTGGCAACCCTGATGAACGAGGAGGGGAAGGAGGGTGTGGCGGCTGCCTTCGAGCAGGTGGGTGGGTGGCTGGGTGGGTGCGCTGGCCACCTGGCACGCGACGGCGAGTGGAGCGGGTGCATGCTTGACCGGAGCCTGGCAGGTCCCCCTGTTGCATGGTACCTGCCAGCAACTCGGCACGACCGCGGTGTGCTGGGCTGCCGCAGACGGACGAGTTCCACGAGGCCTGGAGGGTCAAGGCGCGAGACGTGCTGGCGCGCGCAGAGTGGCGGCGCCGCAAGCTCACCAAGCGGGTGGGTGCCCCTGCCTAGCAGCGCCTGACAGCCGCGTCGGCAGAAGAGCTGGCCCTGCATACAGCATGGGCTGCTAGCAGCATCCAACTTCCCTCCCCCTGCCTGTGGCCCAGATTGGCGAGGAGGAGGAGCGGGCCAAGGCTGAGTACAAGGAGGAGAAGGAGGTGGCCAAGCGCAAGGTGCAGCACGAGAAGCAGTGGGAGAAGACGCGGGACGAGCGGGTGGGCAGCTGGCGCGACTTTGTGGGCAAGAAGACCAAGAAGCAGAAGACAGGTGGGTGCGGTCATGGGCACGCTAGCCTGGTGGTGGGTGGCGCAGCAGTCGGGTCGGGGGGCTGTGCAGCAGCTGGCTGCTTGCGAGACTCCCTCAACCGCTGACGTGCTGCCTGATGATGCTGTCCCTGCCCTGTTCCATGCACGGCTGCAGTCATGGGCGGCCTCAAGCCACCCAAAATGAAGGAAAGCGACCAGGAGCGGCGCTACATCCAGAGACCGACGGGCGAGCAGTTCCGGCCGCCGCCCATGAAGCACGCAGGCCCCAAGAGGGAAGAGCACGATTGAGCTCGGCCGCTGCTTTGGTTCCTTGCTGCCACTTCCTTGCTGCTCGTGCTGCTTACCGACTCACCTGCCTATCCTTGTTTCACCCACCTACCTTGTTTACCTCACCGTGCGCCATGCGCTGCGCCTGGTGACATGCTTGTACACACATGTCACGGCATCATTATATGATTATATCGAAGGTTGCATCATTGCATCAATTTCAGCAAAGAAGTGGTGAAGGAGGCACGGAGTGGGGCAGTGCATAAGAAAAAAATGAGAGATAACGACGTTTGTTTTCTGGAGTGGAATGGGCCTGCCAACCAGGCCCTTGCACGTACTACCGCCGCCGCCCCACCTCCAGGCTACATGCGCTGCCGCCGCCCTCGCCCTCCTCTCCGCACTCGATGCCTGCCCACCGAGCCTCCACCAGCGCACAATTGAATGCCGGCTTGCCCAGCTGGCGGTTGACGGTGTTGTGGGCCTCGCACATCCAGAGGGAGAATGCGGCGCGGCTGTCCACGGCGGGCGGGCTGGCCCGCACCACCTCGCGGAAGTGGCGCGCGCACTCGCCGCAGGGGTACATGCGGGTCAGGATGTCCATCTGCGTGTGGGAGGGAGGATGGCACAGACCTGTGGCTGGTGCCCATTACACTGGTGGGCGCCAAGCATGCGCAGATGCATGCCGGACCCTCAGCCACCACGTCTAACCTACCAGGTTGCGAGCATCCCGCTGCTGCTGCCGCGACGGCTTCTCGGGGTACTGAGCGGCCAGGGTGTGCAGGAAAGTCCAGGCAGCACGCCCAACCTCCTCGCGGCTGACGGCGCCGCCGGCCGCCGCCCCGCCGCCAGAGCCGCTCCAGCCTGCTGCTGCTTGGCTCAGGCTTGCCACCGGCATGGCTACTGCTGGCTGCGCCGCAGGGCGGAACTGCCCGAGCTGCACAGCCACCGTGCGCTGCAGGCGAGACAGGTTGCTGCCAAATGCCTGGCAGTTGCGCTGAAGGCCGCTCAACGCCACGCGCCACGGCTCCGCCGCCGGCGAACCCCTGGGCCCGGCAGGCGCAGAGCGCTCGCCTGCAGGCATGCTTCTCCCTGGTTCTGTCTCGCTGAAACAAGCTATTTGAAGCTGCTGGGGTTACAAACAAGCGTGTTGAGTCTGGGCTCGTCCAGAAGCGAATGTCTTATGTGCACAGTTTGGGTGGCCCCGAGGCCAGCGGCGTGAACTTGAGGAATGCAGGAGAAGAAAACATCGCAGGATCAGGGGCCGGCCAAAGGCATAGCCTGCTGCGCGCTGAGGCCGCTGTGGCCACCGCTCGCCCGCCGCCACCTGCTCAAACCCCTGGTGCAGGTGATGCCCCACACCCGCTTGCAGCGTCTCGTGAGCTCAACAATGCTCAGGGGTGTTCTGGCGGGGCCTGGTAGCTGCCACGCTCGCGCAGGAAGGCCTCCGCCTCTGGGTTGAACGACTCGCGCGGCGAGCGCGTGCCCAGCGCCTCGGGCCCGGTGCCATACTTGGTGGCGCCATAGTAGCGCAGCACGTCCTGCACACATCATAGCACCATCATCAATCAAACACCAGCTTGCGGCACCATCCGCTCGCTGCACAGCCAATCCACAGCCATGTACACCAGCCTACTCCATGCACCTCGGGGTGCCCGCCACTGTGTCGGCGGGCATCCCTGTGACACCCAGAGGTGGAGCAGTTGCTGCCCACCAGGGCTCACCCACCTCGGGGTAGATGCCCTTCTCCTCGGTAGCCCCATACTTGCCCTTGGCCTTGCTGTACGACAGCGGCGTCCAGTCCTTGGGCGTGGCGGCGTCCAGGTCAGCGCCATACTCCACCATCAGCTTGATCATCTCAACGCCTGCGTAGCAGAGAGCGGCCGGTGGTGGAGACAGGCCAGGCTGGAACAGGTTGCGAGGGGGCGCACATGGAGCTAGCAGGCAGCCATGGTACTGGTCTGGGCAGCTTCACGCCACCACCACACTGCACGGCTTGCTGCACCAACAGCAGGTCCCAGGACCGCTCACCGCCGTCGATGCCCCAGAACAGGGTGAGGTCGCCGGCACCGTTCATGAAGTTGGGGTCTGCGCCCGCCCGCAGCAGCGCCTTGGCGCACTCCAGCCTGCACGCACGGTACGGGAGGATCGGGACGCAGAGTCGTAAGCCCTCATGGTGCATGACTGCGGATTGTGAACATTGGGGCTGTTGTGCATACCACACGGCCACCGCACACCTGCCGCGGTGGCAGGCCACCATGAGGGGCGTGTAGCCCTGCGGGCACTTGTAGGCGCGCCCATACACAAAGTTCACGTCTGCCCCCTCCTCTATCTTCTTGTACACCAGCTTGATGTCGTTCTGCGCGGTAGAAAAGGCAGGTGCAGGCAGCTCAGGAGCCGTGAACATCGGCGACCACTACTGTGCTAGGTAGGAAGAGGGCCCACCTACCCACCCCGCCCACACACCTTGACGATGGCGTTGTAAAGCTCCTCCGTCTCGCGCGAGGCCTTGATCACGTCATCCCCCACCTACGCACAAGGGATGGCAAAGCCTCAGCGCTGGCGCCGGCCTGAAGGAAGACTGAGGGGCACCACGGGCAGGGAGGATGCTGCTCACTGTGTGTGACCCCTCCCCTCTGCATTCTTGGCTGTGCATGGCAGCGGGAGGTGTCTCTTGTGCCAGCAATGCACGGCTGCCCCAACACAGCAGAAAGCAGCTTGACACACTGCCCCTGTCGGCTCACCGCCTCTGGGTCGAAGTCGGGGTGGTGGGAGCCCTTGCCGCCATCCCACTGCGCCTCGTAGGCCGCCTCCGCCTCCTTCTGCCGCTTCTTCATAATCTCCTCCATGGCTGCTGCCGTGGATCAGGCACCCTGCGCACCGCGCCTGCAGAAGAGGGGGTGGGGGGAGGAAGCGGCGGAGCATGACGCGGCGCAATGCTGTGGCAGGGCCTGATTTGCATGCGTCGGCTCAGCGGGAGATAGTCTTCCTGATTTATTTCAGTCTGCAGTGAGCGATGGCAGCAGGGGCCCGCACCTAGAGGGGTGGGCCCTGTTGACTGGCGGTCGATGGGGGCTGTGCACAGCTGTATTGGGCACTGCAGCAGCCCGGCGAGGGTGGATCCAGGATGCAGGGAGGATCGGGTCTCGGTGCACTCGTAGCGGTTTTGCTCGCGGCTGCTCGCGTTCCAGCAGTACATCGTACTTGCGGCTGGTTGCCTTTGGGCTTCCAGCAGCTGCCTCATCCGCCTGAAAGGTCATAAACATCTTTGTGACCCCTGACAGCGTCATCATCGCCCCTCACACCTTCGGCCTCGCTTGACCGCAGCCCCACGTGAAGAGTATGTTTGAAGGCGGCGGGGGTGGGATGTTTGCCGGAGAACAGGGAAAAGGGCTGGTGAGTGTGCGGGCTGAGACGGTGGCGGGAGGCGAGGAGGCTGTGTCACCGCCGCCGCCAACCAGGCCTGCTGCCCTGCTGCCCACGTTGTCCAAACCACGCAGGAGGCCAGCTTCAAGGAGTTTCTGAAGCGCCCAGAGAATGCCGCCATCCTGGAGAAGCAGCAGCATAAGGAGGCAAGGCAGGCGCTCCAGCTGCAGGAGAAGATGCGGGCGCTCGAGTTCCGAGACAAGGTGCGCATCGCTGTTGCGACAGCGAGCAGCGCCGTTTGGCTAGCATAGCAGCGCAGCCATGTCCTACATTGGGTGTATCTGGTAGCAGGCCAGGCTCTGCTGCTGATCTCCAGCAAGGAGGGACTGCGTGCGCTGCTGCTGTACCGAATTGAGCGGTGCAGGTGCTGGAAGCGGAGTATGAAGCTCAGAAGAACATTGCGCCCTTCCTGGAGAACAGAGTGCTGCGCCGCATCGTGCAGGTGGGCCGCAGGATCTCCTGCAAAGGGGCTAAAAGTCTGCTTCGCATTAATCCTGGTGCTGTTACTGCTGCACACATGGCCGCTTGGCCCTGCCCCGCCCTGCACGTCTGGCGCAGACCTTCACAAATGACCCCAGCGGCGACTTCTCCAAGTGGGCCAACAACCCGCGAGTGGTGGAGATGCTGCGGGAGGCCAAGCGGCTGATGGATGGGGGGTGGGTGTGTCAGAAGCCGCTGGGCCGCTGTGCAATGCCCACTTCACTCTGGCAGGTACCGGGGTGCATACTGGTGAAGGCTGGGAAAGCCGATGCACGCCCCCCCCGCCAGCCTCCCCGTTGCGCAGATTTTTGAACGAGGACGACGTAGAGACCTTCATGATCCGGCAGCTGGACGACCCCGCTCACGAGGCGCACGAGGACTTCAAGCGCAAGACGCGCAGGGTGGCGCGCCTGCCCACCGAACAGCTGGTGGGGGCGCTGAACGAGCACGTGAGTGGCGGTGGGCGGCTTGCCATGGCACTCGCTGCAATTCTCATCCCGTGCATGTGCGTGCTTGCTGGCACTTGTGGCTCAACGGTAGGGTCGCTGTGGCCTGATCAGCTGGCGGCGTGGCGCCTGCCTGCAGTTGACGGAGCGGCGGCAGGGCAACGAGGCCTACCGCTCCAGAAACTACACAAAGGCGCTGCACCACTATGAGCGGGCCAAGGCGGTGGTGGAGTTTGTGGAGGGGCTGAGCCGCGCAGACCAGGCAGAGGTGGAGGTTAATAAAGTGGCTGTGTACCTCAACCTGGCGGCGGTACACATGGCCACGCAGGTGCCACAAGGGGGGGATGGCCGTGCGGTTACCAGTTTGTGGTAGTGAAGGGGCTGTGCTGCTTGCTGGCTGATCAGCTGGCTGCTGCTGCCTCAGCAGAAGAGCAGCAGGCACCCAGCCACCCCATGCCTGCCCACCCATGCGCCTGCAGGAGTATGGCGGTGCCGTGGGCTACTGCGACAAGGCCCTGGAGCTGGACCCAGCCAACACCAAGGCGCTGCTGAGGCGCAGCCGGGCGCACACGGGGCGGCACGACTACGAGGCTGCCGCCGCTGACCTGGCCCGCCTGCGCCAGCTGGACCCACTCAGCCCGGAGGCCGCTGAGCAGCAGGCAGCGCTGGAGCGCACGCGGCAGGCAGACCGGCGCAAGGAGCAGGCTGTGTTTGGGCACATGTTTGAGCGCAGCCAGGTGGCGGCAGCGGGAGCTGCGGGCGCCAGCTGAGGGCAGCGCATGCTATTCCCCACCTCGCTTTCCTGTTCTGGGTCGTTGCACAACGGAGCGTGTGTGACAAGTTGCAATGCATGAAAGATGCTAGAGTTGGGGAGACGATCTCAGGGCCAGGCGGCAAATTGGTTGAGAAGTAGGCTCCAGCTGTTGGCAGAGCAGGCCTGTAGGCCTGTAGTGATACAGAAACCTCAAACCCGCAGAAGCAGGGGAGGATTAGCTGGACAGAGGAGCAAGCAACAGCAGCAGAAAAGAAAGAAAACAGAAGAGGAGGGATGGCAGGGCAGAAGAGGCATGCAAGCAGGAAGGAGAAGCGTCAACAGGCAAGAGGCCGGCCAGGGTCATGAAATCAGCTGCTGCGATGCCCGCGGCGGCCCATCGCTGCTGCCTGGGTGGTCCAGCGGGTTCAGCAGCCTGCTGCTCTCCTCCTCTGCCGCTGCCGCTGCCGCCGCCGCATCTGCTGCAGTGGGCGGCCGCAGCGGCGGCACCCACCCCGTGGGCAGCAGACAGTGCAGCGAGACAGCTATGGAGGCGAGGCGGTTGATCCAGCTGGGCGCCTCCTGCCCTGTCAGCCGCGAGCAAAGGTCGCTAGAGAAGTGATTGCAGTTCATCTGGAGCAGGTGGTACCTGCAAAATGTGGGCAGCACAGGGCTGGGCAGACCACCAGAGATGCATGTCAACCAGCAACCAAACAGCCACACCGCCAACGACCCCAAACCGCAGCTGCTGGAGGGCTGCGCAGTTCACGGCAAGGGCAGGCAGTCGTGGCGGGTGATGCGGCGCACCTGTTGCCCCTGTACTGCGCCCCCATCTGCTGCACCACCGCGTGCACCTCTGCCGGCGACAGGTCACAGTGCCCCACGGGGATGGCCTCCCTCCATGCCACCGTGCCCGGCGCGTGGCGGGGATTGGTGGCAAACACGCCTGGAGCATCGAACTCATGCCCTGCAAAAGGGGAGCCAGGCATGCGGGGTCGAGTTAGCAGCAGAGCAGGGACCTGCCTCACCATGACCTGCTCACATGGCTGGCGGCAGCCGACCAGGCAGCCCGCTCACCGCCAAACGCATACTCGACGCCGTAGACCTCCACGCCGCTGTGGAACACGCCCACGCCGCACCAGTAGGTCCAGTCGTTCCTGCAAGCAAGGCACGAGTTTGCAGCGCTGTGGAGGCGCACGCCGCAGCGGAGCAGCCCTTCACTTTGGCAACTGCCCAGGGCAGGATGCCCAGCTCCCAACCGCTGGCCCGGCGCGCCAGCAGACGCACTGTTGGAGGAGGTCATACACGTTTAGGTAGACAGTGGCACCTCCATGGTCGCCCAGTGCCCCTCTGCTGCCGACGGCAGGCAGCGCCATGCCTGGCTGCGCCTGCAGGCCACGGCGGAAGCGCAGAGCAGCAGTCTGGCGGCGGCAGCCGGGTGCGCCGTCGACCAAGGGGCAGGAGCAGGCGCGTGCTCCCTGCAGCCGCGGCGCAGGGATGGCACTCGCCTGCACAGCCTCTGCACTTCGGGCCTAGACCGTGGCGACAAGGCCGCGGCCGTGCAGCGCCGCGCTTGCTCCCCAACAGCAGAAGTGCCTGCTGCGGTGGCTGGCGCAGCAGCGAGAGAGCAAGTGTCTGCAAGTGTGGCAAGCAACACACTGGCCACAAAGCGCGCACGGTGAGTCGAATCAGTACAGTACGGCAGGAAGAGGCGCTCTGAGAGCTTTGCTCTCCTGCGGCCTTCCAGCATACAAGGCGATCGCTGCTGCTGCTTACCGGACAGGCCTCCACTATCTCAAGCACCCCCTTCGATCAGTCTCCTCTGTGAGCTCCAGATCAGGCCTCTCCACCTGCCTGTGCCCCCCCAAGGATTCGAATCCGATCTGTGGGTGGCGGTGGTGGTCAGCTGCCCACGATCGGCTTCGCTTTCGTTGCCAGGCCGCCGGTGCGAGCCGCCGCGCTGCTCTGCTGCAGCTCCATGCGTTGAAGTAGGGCTCGGCGACACAGCGCCTTGAAGCGCCGCTTTGAGGGAGCAGCTGCTGCCGTCGCCCTGGCTGGCGGCAGGGGCTCACCCGCCGCTGCCTGCGCCTGGGTGGACCGGCGTGCAGGTAGCGAGCAGCCATGGCAGAGGCGATGGAGGCAGAGATTTTTGGGGAGGAGCAGAAGGATGAGCTGCCCGAGGAGTTCCAGACCATGTCGGCAGAGGACATACAACGCAGGTGTGGGCGCGGAGTGTGGCGCCGCCATGCTTGGCGTTTGGGCACGGGTGCAAATGCATCAGGAGCCCTACGACCGCCCCTGCTGCCTGCCTGCCCTCCTGCCTGGGCTGCAGGTCGCGGCTGCTTGAGAATGAGATCCGGGTGCTGCGGGACGAGTCCAACCGCCTGACGCACGAGAAGGCGGGGCTGGCGGAGCGGGTCAAGGAGAACCACGAGAAGATCAAGCTCAACAACCAGCTGCCCTACCTGGTGGCCAACATTGTGGAGGTGCTGGAGGTGGACCCAGAGGAGGAGGAGGAGGAGGATGGTGAGCATGCTGGGTGGGGTTGCTGTGGGCTGGCCGCTGGCAGGGTGCAGGCACCGGGCGTGGGCAGAGCGCCGCACGGCGTGTGCCATGCTGCAGCTGCTGCCGCCAAGGCTGCTTCTGCAAGGCCTGCTGCTGTTGCTGCCCAGCCTGCCTGACCCCGCCTGCCCCTTGTCCCCGGCCTGCAGGCGCGGGTGCGTACCAGGATGCCGGGAAGAAGGGCAAGTGCATTGTGCTGAAGACATCCACGCGGCAGACCGTGTTCCTGCCGGTGGCGGGGCTGGTGGACCCCGAGACGCTCAAGCCCGGGGACCTGGTGGGCGTGAACAAGGACTCCTACCTCATCCTGGATACCCTGCCAGCAGAATACGACTCCAGGTGGGGCTCCTCTGGGGGCGACCCACGCCGCTGCCCGGGAGCCCCTGCTTGCATCCCACTGCTGCTGCTGCTGGATCCACCTTCAGCGCTATCCTCCAGCTCACCCCCCCTTCCACCCCACACCCACCCGCCCCCACGCGCCATCTCCCCCGGCAGGGTCAAGGCCATGGAGGTGGATGAGAAGCCGACCGAGGACTACAGCGACATTGGGGGGCTGGACAAGCAGATCCAGGAGCTGCGGGAGGCCATCGTGCTGCCCATCACCCACAGAGACCGCTTTGTCAAGCTGGGCATCAAGCCGCCCAAGGGCGTGCTGCTGCACGGGCCGCCAGGTGGGCAGGGGCGCGGCTGGAGCGAGGGTGTGGTTGTGTTCGGGTGGGTCTGCCCCAATGTGGCTGCTGAGGGGCAGTCAAACGTGGCCAGCATCGCTTGCTTGGTTTGCATGTGATGATGCTCCACGTTGTGCCCGCCCCTTTCTCAGCCTGCCTCCCCCGCTTATCCGCCCTCCCCCGCTTATCCGCCCTCGATCCCTGCCCCGCAGGCACCGGCAAGACGCTGATTGCGCGCGCGTGCGCCGCCCAGACCAACGCCACCTTTCTGAAGCTGGCGGGGACGAGCCTGGTGCAGATGTTCATCGGCGACGGCGCCAAGATGGTGCGCGACGCCTTTGCGCTGGCCAAGGAGAAGCAGCCCTGCATCATCTTCATCGACGAGATCGACGCCATTGGTGAGGGAGCTGTGGGGGTGGGGGGGGCATGCACAGCAGCGGGTGGCCGCAGGTGTTGTTGCTACAAGTCGGGTGGATACTCGCGCATGCTGTTTGGGCGGCAGGGAGCCGACGAGGGCGGGCTGCCTGGCATGTGCGTTGCAGGCACGACGCGGCGCGACAGCGAGATGAGCGGCGACCGCGAGGTGCAGCGCACCATGCTGGAGCTGCTCAACCAGCTGGACGGCTTCTCCTCGGCCGACGAGGTCAAGATCATTGCTGCCACCAACCGCCCAGACATCCTGGACCCCGCGCTCATGCGCTCGGGTGGGTCTGAGCAGGGGCCGCTTGGACGACAGGCGATGTGCAGGCGTCACTGACACAGGTATCATGCATGCTGCTGTAGACTTCGCCTGCTGACTGGTGTCTGCTGCCCCGCCGGCCTTCGTTTGCCGTGCAGGCCGCCTGGACCGCAAGATTGAGTTCCCGCACCCCAACGAGGAGGCGCGCGCCAAGATCCTGCAGATCCACTCCCGCAAGATGACCGTCAGCCCCGACGTCAACTTTGACGAGCTGGCGCGCTCCACAGACGACTTCAACGCGGCGCAGCTCAAGGCGGTGAGCAGGGGGGGAGGTGCAGCAAGGGCGCAGGGCGTGCGCACAACAGGGGCAACGGCAGGCATGGTCGCTCAGCAGACTGGCCTGTCTGTTTTTGTTTGATGATCAAGAGTTGGGCCTTTGTCACCAGTGCCTGCCGCCCCCACGGCCCGCAGGTGTGCGTGGAGGCGGGCATGCTGGCTCTGCGGCGGGACGCCACGCAGGTTAATCACGAGGACTTCAACGAGGCCATCACCGAGGTGCAGGCCAAGAAGAAGGCCAGCCTCAACTACTACGCGTGATTGGCCAGCGCATTGCCTAAACATGTAACACACGCAGCAGCAAAAATTCAGGGAGAGGGCAGTACAGCGCAGGACATGCTGCTGCATCAGGCGCGAATGCCTGCTGCTGGGAGACCAAAAGCAATCCACACTGCTCCACTGCAAATCAGACTGCTCCAGCAGCTTGCAGCTCTTCGAGGTGGCTCTGCGACTTCTCTCGTTTTGGGCTCTCCTTCGTGCACTGCAGCACCGAGCCAGCTCAGGTGCGTTCGCAAAGCACGAGCAGCCTATGCCGCAGCTTTCTGCGTTCCCCACCCCCCCAACTCGCTCCTCACTCTGAACCCTACGTCGTGCAGACGCAACCAGGCACCATGCTTGCTCCTGGCATGGAACAGCCTCGTGGCTCGGAGTTCAGGAGCCAGCGCCTGCGTCAAACGCAGTCGGTGGCACCCGCCGCCCGCCCTCCCGAGGTGGCAGCTTTTGTGGACTCGCACCGCCTCCTGCGGCAGGCCTGCAAGCTGCTCCCGTTGACGGCCAGAGAGGAGCCGGCGCTACCGCATGGCGCCGCTGCACGGCAGGCTGTGCTGCGCGCATTTGGCAGCGGGGCGCGCGCCGGTGGGATTGCGTCGCTGTTCCAAATGCCGCCAAGCCCACTACTGCAGGTGAGTGGTCAAGGAGGCGGATGGATGGGTGGGTGGGATTAGGAAACGCACACTGGGGCACCTTGGTGCCGCCCGGTAGCTGAGCCCGGTAGCTGAGCCCGTCGATGAGTGCCTGCCTGTCTGCTGCAGTCGCGAGTGCCAGATATCACACTGGCGGACGCACAAGAAGGAGTGTGCAAAGCTGGCGGCTCAGCAAGTTTGAAGCTGAGCGTTGGCCCGCTCCCCGCCCTGCCCGCCCTGGCGCGAGGTTGACCAGCCCCACCGTCCTTGGCGCAGCATGCATCGGCTGTCCACATTGCTGATGCAGCAGCTGCCGTCTCCAATGGCGCTCCACTTGAGCCCGGGGGCCAGCCACGCAACCAAACAACACAACACTTGCCCGTGCCTGAATGATACAGGGCGTGCAAGGCTGATACCGATACGTCCCAGCCCCGATCTGGGCCAATCTTGCGCTCTTGCCGCAAATCGTTGTGTTGGGTTGCAGTACTTTGGCAGTACCTGTTGTGAATTTCGCTGAACTTCCGCAAGCCCGGTCCAGGCAAATTGTGGGGTGCAAATTGTGGGGTCAGGCAGCGTGTGGAGCGGCGGTACATGCATCAGTGGGCTCAAACGTGTTCACCGGCGGCCCTCTGCAACCGCAGTCTATGGGGGCACAGTAGCAGAGGCACATGAAGCAGCACAGCAAGGGGTCCCTCAGCAGCATGGCCGTCGCTGAGAGTGACCTCGGCGAGGTGAGCAGCGGGGCGGGCGGGCGGGTTGCCGGCACACTGCCGTGCGGGCTGCGCGCCAGAGCCATGCATGCACCGTCGGTCCTCTCTGCTGACTTCAGGATGCGGCGGTGGACCCTGCTGCCGTCATCCGCAAGCTCGACCGCCATTTAATCCCCTGGCTCTTCTCCCTGGGCATCCTCTGCTACCTTGACCGCACCAACCTGTCGTTTGCGGCGCTGGACCTCAACCGCGACCTGCACCTCTCCTGCTCCACCTACGGCCTGGGCGCCTCCCTCTTCTTCATCTCCTACGCCCTCTTCCAGATGCCGTCCACGGTGGTCTGCGCCCGCCTGGGCGCCCACATCTGGTTGTCGGCCAACATTGTGGCCTGGGGCGCCGTGGCCGCCATGTTTGCGCTCGCCTCCAGCGTCCCCGCCTTCCTGGCGCTGCGCTTCCTGCTGGGGGCCACCGAGAGCGCCGCCTTCCCAGGTGGGCGAGGGGAGGCTGCGTGGGACCGGGGCGAGCCCGCAGACAAGCCTGCGGCGTGGGATTTTCCCTGCCGCGGAATGAGTGCATGCACCTGCTCCCTGCATCCCACCCTGCCGCCGCCCCCTGCTCCCTCCACCACCTGCAGGCATGTGGTACCACCTGTCCACCTTTTACAGCGAGGCCGAGATGGGCCCCGCATATGCCAAGGTGGCCTCCTGCACCGCGGTGGCGCAGGTGGTGGGCGCGCCGCTGGCCGCCGGCATCCTGGCCATGGACGGCGTCGGCGGCCTGCGGGGCTGGCAGTGGCTGTTCATCCTGGAGGGCGGGGCGACGGTGGTGTTTGGCGCGCTGCTGCGCTTTGCGCTGGCACCCTCCCCGGCCAAGGCCCGCATGCTGACGCGGGCGGAGCGCGAGTGGCTGCGCCACCGCCAGGAGACCGCGCGCACGGCGATGGGGGCGGCGGGGCAGCAGGGGGCGCATCCGCAGGCGCGGGAGGGCGGCGGCTCCACATGCGCCGGCTTCATGCACCAGTTCAAGGGCACGCTTGGTGAGTGGCGGTGTTCAAATGGATGCGGGCCCAGGTGCTTGCTTTGCTGCCCCGGCAAGAGCTCGCCCCACCCTGCCCCCGTCAGACACTGCTGATGCTGCCTGCAGGGGTGGTGCGCGACTGGCGCATCCTGTGGCTGTCCGGCTGCTGGCTGCTGGTGGCGGCAGTCATGTTTGGCATGGTGGGTGGGCAAGCAGCTGCCGCCGATGCGGCGGCGGCGGCAGCGGCGGCTGCTGGGAGCTGCAGCCAGCCCAGCCCAGCACATGAGAATACCTGCCTTGCTGCCACGCTGCCACGCTTGCTGCCACGCTGCCTGCAGACCTTCTTCATGCCTCTGCTGGTCTCTGCCATGTTTTCCGGTGGCGGCGCCATCTCTGGCGTGAGCGGCGGAGGCGGCGGCGGCCACGGCGCCTGCCACAGCGACGACGGCGACGGCGAGTCGGGGGGCGAGGGAGAGCGGCAGCACAGCTCGCTGGTGGCCCTGGCCTCTGCGGTGCCCTTCATGCTGGCGGTGAGCTGTGATGGTACTTTCCAGTGCCGTGCCTGCAAGGATGCCTGCTGCTACTGCCCCATGGTTCAGGGCCGCTTGAGCGAGCCTGCAAAGCCAGCAGCCCACCCCACCCACCTTGCCTGCACCTGGCTGCTCCACGCTTCAGGCCGTGGGCATGAACATCAATGCGCGGCTGGCGGGGCGGGCCAACGAGCGGCACCGCCATGCCGGCGTGCCCATCCTGCTGGCTGGCATCCTGCTGGGGCTGGTGCCGCTGGCGGCTCGCACCGCGGGCCCCGGCCTCGCCTTTGCGCTGCTGTCTATGACCGCCGGCCTGTGCTGGTCCTTCCACGGTCGGTGGGCCAGCTGTGCCGGGCTGCTGGGCCTGCGCCTGCTTTCAGCTGGTGCTGTAGCCACCTCTGCCTGCACCTCCCACATCAATCCCACCCCCTTCTTCCCCTCCTTCCCCGCCCGCAGGCCCCTTCTTCTCCTGGCCCGCGGTGTTCTTGCCCAACGAGCAGGCGGCTGCGGGCTTTGCCTTCATCAACTCGATTGGCGCCGTGGGCGGCTTCATCGGCCCCTACCTGCTGGGCGTGCTGAGCGACCGCGGCGACGGCGGCTTTGGCACCGCCATGCTGGTGCTGGCCTGCTTCCTGTTGGTCAGCGGCACCCTCATCCTGCTGTTCCCCGCCCCCGGGCACCGCGAGGAGCAGGCGGTCACGGTGAGCCTGAAGCCCAGCGACCCCAGCGGCGAGTACTCGCTGGCGCCGGCGGGTGACCGCTCCTCCACGCAGTGCCTGTCCCCGCGGGACGAGGAGGAGCAGGATGGCGACATGGAGTCGCAGCAGCGGCCTGCGGGCTGGCAGCAGCGGCACTCCCGGCACAAGGCCGCCAGCTCGGCTGGCCAGCTGAGCGAGGTGGAGTTCCAGCCTATCCTGGATGGCGCCCGCTCCACATAATCAATATTTGCCCCCCCGGCGGCGCGGGAGACTGCCAAGCACAGCTGCTTTTCTGTGTTTCCTCATTGTTGGCTGAGACCCATTTCATTGTCTTTGCCCACCCTGTGTATTGTATTGGCCTATTTCTTACAACGCGCATACTCTCAGGAAACGATTTAGTGCTTCAACAGGCACGCAGACGGGGTTGCCTACAGGGGGTTGTAGTGTACACGGAGGTGGATACGGCACTGCAGCTAAGCTGGCTGGCCTCGCAGAAAGGACAAAGACAAGTATTCATTGGATGCTGGCCAAAGGCATTTCACGGTTGTGCGAAGAGAGAGGTGCTTGCATCAGATTCTGAGGTGGGGACAGGGGAAAAAGAATCTGAAACCAAGGGGGGGGGCAGAGAGAACTGACACAGAAACACAGGTCTTCTTCTGTGTGTTGGGGAAGGCATAATGAAGCAGAAAACGGGGCGCCTCAGGCAACGGGGTCAGCGGAATCGATGGATGAGATGCTGCCGCTGCTGGTGGTGGTCAGCATGCGCTGGTTCCGGTTACGCTTGGTCCGCTGGTAGTCCCTCCAGCGCCGTGCAGCAGCAGCCACCGTGGCGGCGTTCACGCCGCGGCCCAGGCTGCTGCTGGCGCTGGAGGCGGCGGCATCACCCTGCATGGACGACCCTGCGGCGGGGGTGGCGCGGAAGAAGCCCCAGCCGTTGTCGGCCTGCACCTTGGCGGCCAGCGCCGCCTGCCGCTTCTGCCATGCGATGGACGCCTCGAAGAAGACATTCATGTTGGCGCCCTTGCCGCCGCCCGTCATCTGCGGGGGAGCGCCAGAGGAGCACCAGCAGCGGGCACAGCAGGGTTGTGCACACACACACGCACACACCTTCTTGGGGAGGGAGGGAACACATTCATTCCTCTGCCCTCAGGGAACCTCCCTAGGTCATGCGGGCCCCCACATAAGGCTCACCAGCACAAAGGCTGCGACGCGCTCCATGCGGCTCATCGTCTCCTCCAGCAGCGCCAGCTGCGGCGCGGTCACCTGCAGCAGGACACGGCCAGGGGTGGGGTTGCAGGAGGTCGGCGCCCAGGCAGGCCCACATGCCCCCAAGCAGTGGCAAGGCAGCCCTGCTGGCTGGCTGAGCGGCAAGTGTGAGGGGTGGCGGGCGAGCCGCCGCCGCCGCCGCGGCACCCCCATCGCGGCGCTGGCTCGGCTGACCGGGCCGCCGTGCTCACCCAGTGGATGCAGGACACGGGGCACGTGTCGATGGCCTCCTGCAGCTTCTCCACTCCGTCCACGCCCTGCTGGCGCACCCGCGCCCGCCCCCACTCGTCCTCCATCATGAAGGTGGCGGAGGCCACGCAGTTGCAGTTCTTGCAGCCGATGCACGTGAACTCGTCCACAAACACGCTGTCGCGCTCGTAGCTGGTGTCGGTGAAGGGGTTGACGCCACCGATCTGGAAGCCCACGATGGCGTCGTAGGCGGCGCGCTTGTCGGGGTCGCTCAGAGTCTGCGGGGGTGGCAGGTGGGTGGTGGTGGGTGGTGGGTGTGTGGATGGCGAAAGGGGAGGGACGCGAGGGTGGGCGGTGCAGGGGGCGCGGCATCGGTTGAGGCAACGCACTCACGTCATAGACATCGTTCAGGAAGATGGCAAACTCGGTGCTCGACTCGTCGGCAGACACATCTGGGTGGAACTCCTTGGCCAGGCGGCGGTAGGCGCGCTTGATCTCATCCGTGCCAGCGGTGTAGGACACGCCCTGCGCCAGCAGGCAACCCGAGAAATGCGGTGCTCAGGTGTGGCTCTGACACAACTGGCTTCCACACTGCTGCCAATGCCTCCGATTGCTGCTGCCCTGCCTGCTCACCAGGATGGCGTAAAAGTCGGTCGCCTCGTCCGCCTCTGTGGCAGTAGGAGCCGGCGGCTGCCACGCCAACACGCGCAAGCGGCCCCGCCCCCGGCCGACAGCAGCCTGCCGGCTGCTGCCACCGCGAGCGCTGCATCCCTGGCGCAGCATCTGCACGCTGGATGCTTGCTTGAGCCTGCATGTGCTGCGAGCTGCAGCTGTGGCGGCGCGGCCGGGTGCCCTGCCGCTTGCAGCTGTGGCCGCCGTCGCCGCCACCACCGCGCAGTTGCCCTCCCCCTGCGCTAGCAACCGTGCCGCCCCCATATTCTGGGTGGATCAGCCGCGGCGCGGGGCTGATGCGGAAGCACGAGAGCAGCAACCCTTGTCAGCGGGTTGTAGTCTTGAGCAGCAGCACAGGGCGCAGTCTGCTGTTCACCGCTGCAGCGCAGGGTCTTGCCGTCGACTAAAGTTAGGGTCTTGCTCGTGCCCTTCCTCCCGTGCGTGCGCTGCTGACACGCAGCAGGCGATTCATGCAGGCCAGCACATCTTGGGCGCCCCCTGGTCAACACCATCGCTGTCGCCCCGCCGCCCATTCGCCCGATATCACTTTTGCTGCTGTTCCTGCAGCCAGTGGCGGCCCGAGGAGAGCGCGGGGTTTGAAGTCCCTGGCGGGCACCGGCCCCAGGGCGGTGCATGGGAAGGCTGCCGTGATGTTAGTGGAGAACTCAGGCGCTGGACCCGGCAAGCGCGCGGCAGAGGCCCAGGATAGCGGCGCCGGCGGCAAGCGGCGGCGCGGAGATTGCCCAGAGAGCCCCTTTGACGAGCTGGTGAGGGCCAAGCCTGTGTGTAATGTGTATCTCTCTGACTGAAGCCCTGAATGCACTGCGCAGTAGGGCTGCGGCGATATCCCGTCGATGGTGCCGAAAGCACGACCGCCATTTCGGTGCCGTGCTTGCAGCTGGGCCAAGCGGGATGTACGTTGTCATCTGGCCGGGACGGGTGCGAGTACGAAGTGGAGGACCCACGCAAGCTGAGGTGTGAGCTGCTTCAATTGCTGCCGCCTCGGTGCTGTCGGCCCGAGCAGCAGCAGCCACCGACGCTGGGCAGACCAAGCAACCTGCCTCAGCTCCCACCGACATCGGGCCCTCTCCTCCTTGCAGGCGGCTGCTGGAGCAGAAGCTCACCCTGAATGGAGAGCTGCGGGCCAGCTTCCTGGCGGGGCTGCAAGAGCAGCTGGCCGAGGTGCCGGTGCTGCACGCGGCGCTCAAGCCGATGCAAGTGACAGGGGTGAGCCAATCGCGCATGGCTGATCGGTTGCCTAGTTGCAGCTGTCTGCTTTATGGGCAGCAGGGTAGGGCATAAACTAAGGGCGATCTTCTTCTGTTGCCACCTACCCTGTCCTGTCCCTTGCAGAATGCGCCCATCACCGGCGACAGCTTTGTGCGGGTGCTGCTCAATGTGGCGCCGCTACAGGTGCGTCTGGGTGGAAGGGGGGTGGCCGCCGTCCCAGCCCCGCTGAGGCTGCTGCCGTGGCTGTGGGGGGCCCCACCACCCTGCCCCTGTCTGCTTTACCCCACAACGGGGGTGCGCCGCTGCTGCTGCACGCAGGCTAACGTGTCGCAGATGCTGCTGGAGCGCCTGCCTGAGTTTTGCGACGCGCAGGGCGAGGAGGCGCCACTGCCGCAGCTCATCCTGGGGCAGTTTAGATGGTGGGTGCAGGGGCAAGGCGGGTGGGATAAGCTTCCTGGCATGCCCACTGTGTTGGTTGTGTAGTCCAGTGCTGTCATGCGGCACACCCTACATTTCCTCAACAGCTCGACATTTTGCCCGCGCTTACCCCACGCTCTCCCCTCCCGCCCTCGCCTCTGGCCTGCCAGGCTGGACCACGTGGCCGACCCGCGGGCGCTGACAGACAAGCTGCTGGAGGTGCTGCCGGTGTGCCCTGAGGAGCTGAAGAAGGATGCCATCACCTTTTTGCCAGAGGTGGCCACCGAGGACGACCACGAGGTGGGGACTTGGGCTGCACGTCGGCCCTTGCTTGGTGGGGTGATTGTGATTTGATTGAAATGATGAACAGTAGCAAGGGTGACGAGGCAGGCAGCACATTGGCTGTTCACGTCTGCCACCTGTTGCGTAGTGTGCAGCCGCCTGACCCGCCATCTGCGCCACACGTCTGCGGGCGTGGGACCATAAATGAGACCGGCTGGCTGGCTGGGTGCAGGCGGTGATCCGTGCACTGGAGGAGATGATGGGCGAGGAGGCCTTCATCCTGCCCTCCATAGAAGCCCTGGCCAACCTGTGCCTCACCCCGGAGCAGCAGGTGACGGTGGGGCAGGCTCGCAGCTTTTCAGTTCGTGTTCTGAGCCATGTCTGGCAGCTCAATGGTTGTGCATCACCACCTGGCTGCTCACTTGTATGGCCTGGAGGATCTGACACTTGTGTGCTGTACTGAAGCACCCCCATCCATCTGCCCGCCCCTTGCAGTCGCGGGTGGTGGGCATGGTGCTGGAGCGCTTCTGCACAGCCGCTGCCGAGGACCTGCCCGCGGTGGCGCGCTTCCTGCTGCAGTACGGCACCCCCGCCGACGGCGAGCTGAAGAAGGTGCGTTTGTGATGTGTGGCGGCGGGTGGATGAGTGGGTGGGTGGCACACCGTCCATCGGAGCCGCCATCATCGTGCTGTGCACGCCTGGACGATGCAGCTCGTTGACCGTTCCCAGCCTTTCATCTCCTGCACGATAGCCTGTCACTTGGCCATCACACCCACGCCAAGCACCTGCATTGTGCAGGTGGTGGGCACGCTGCGCTCCCTGCACTTTGTGTCGCCCTGCGACCCCCGCCTGGCGGTGCCCGACCGCAAGCAGAAGGGGCGGGTGCTGGGCGGCGGCGACAGCCCTGACTACCGCCTGCTGGAGGCGGTGAAGCAGGCCATGCAGCTCAACCCGGCGGCGGCGGATGCGGTGGTGAGGGAGATCAGGGGGACCACAGGTGTGGCCCTGAACCTGGGGAACCCGCGGGACGGGGCCACATTGTCTGCTGGTGACCGAGGGGACTCCCCCTTGTTGCACGCGGTGGACCGCACCCCACTGCTGGCCTGCTTGCTGTGCAGAGCCCGATGCACATCGCATCCTGGACCTCTGGCTGCTGCTGGTGATGCTGACGCTGGGGGCAGACCGCCGCAAATCGGCCGAGGCCATCCTGCGGTGGGTGGGGGGCTGCACTCGTTGCCGTCGATGGATGCATCAAGCTCATTGCCAGCAGACAGCCGCCTTCCGACTTGGTGGTGGCTCATTTCCAACTGCATTTTCACTGGGGCGCAGGCGCAAGTTTGCCGACGGGCATGCAGATGCAGCATGGCTGAGAAGGGCCATCACTGGGCACGAGGTGCGGCGGCATCCCGGCTGCTGCTGCAGATGCACTTGCAGAATGCAGATGCAGGCCTGCGCCTCCATCTGCACCGTGTGCTGCCTTGTGCTGTTCCTGACATGCTTGCTTCTCTTCTTGGTGTTTGTTGTTGCTGTCCTGGTGTGCAGCGCGTCATGCTGGAGTTCTTCCCCCAGCTGCTGTCGCTGGCGCAGCAGCTGCTGCGCAACACGTCAGTGCCGGTGCAGGGGACGGGCGTGGAGCTGTTCTGCTGCCTGTTCCAGCACTTTACAGAGTCCTACAACCAGCAGGTGGGCAGCTGCCATGTCGCTGAGTGGGGTTGTTGTTGTGGACACGATGATTCTGCATCCCAATACGTCCAAAATGTCGCGCCACTTGGCGCACGTGTGTGTTTTCACTCTGCAGGAGGTGCTGCGTGCGCTGCACAGCCACCTCGGGGCGCAGGTGCCGGCAGAGACCACCGCAGCGCTGCAGGTGCGCCGCCTGCATCGTGTGTGAGCCATGCTGCTGCTGCGGGACCTGCAGCTGTCTTCCACCTGGCCCCACCCACCCCCTTGTTTCCACAATGCCGCTTGCAGGTGCTGCTCCAACTGTCGGACAACCACACAGACACGCTGGGGCGCTATGCCGCCTTCCTCACAAACATTTTGGACTACATCGACAGCTACTCCGACCACCAAGTGCAGCAGGTATGCTACATGGCAGCTCGGTCAAACAATGATGCAATCAATAAGCAAGAGCCCATGCGCTGGGCGTGGCCTGCTGCTGCTTCATGCGTGCAGGTGTTTGCTGTGTTTGGCCTGCTGGTGGCGGGCGCGTGTCGCCAGGCAGACGGCAGTGGCACCAGCAACGATGCTGGGGGCAGGTGAGCGGGCTTGCAGGTTGGGCAGTTCGAGTTGCTGAGCCCCGGCTGAGCTCAAGTCACCTTCCAGTTATCTATCTGCCTGCCTGAAGGTCCCGCATGGAGGACGAGCTGATGATCTTTGTCCGCAAGCAGCTCAGCAGCGCGCAAGGCCAGCACCGCCGCATCGGCATCATCGGCACGGTGGCGCTGGTGCAGCGCCTGGGGGCCGCCGTCGGCGTCGTGCCTGAGCCGGAGTCGGCGATCGGTGGGACAGCAGTGGGGGGCATGCTGCGAGTAAGCCAAGGGCATAACAGCAAATGCATGGCCAAGCTGGCTGCCTTACCCCATACATGTATGTCCCTACCTCCTCTCATGCCTGCAGGGAAGCGGTACCGCGAGGCCATGCACGCGCTCCAGGACACTTTCCACAGCTGCCGCCACAGGTGCGTGCAGTAGTGAGTGCCTGTGCCAAGCCCAGCCAGCCTCGTCTGCTCCTCTGCTGCCTGCCTGCCCACTGACATGTATCCATGCTGCATTCATGCATGCCTGCGGTGTTGCAGCCCCGAGGCTTTCGCCTTCCTGTGCGACGAGCTGACGCGCGGCATCCAGCGCAAGGCCATCGGCGCGCGGCTGATCGGGGATGTGCACAAGATGCTGGCCTCCTACCTGGAAGACACCTTCTTCTGCTTCCTGAAGGAGGGCGTGCAGCTGGAGGTGGCGGATGCGGCCGTGCACGTGCGTGTGCGGCAGACTGCACCATCATCTTTCCCCTTCGCCCCAATCGTCTACCCCCCTCTCGCTCATCATTCTGCGCCTCCCATCACCCACCCCTCTCCCATCCCATCTATTGTTCCCGTCATCCACCGCTCCCCGCCATGATCCGCTCGCACAACCTGCCCCCTCCCCATCATCCTACCCCTCGGTTTGCATCATGCATCTGCTGATTGGCGTCCCGGCACCCTACTCCGTGCAGGTGGGCGGGCAGCGCCTGGAGGCGGAGCTGTGGTGGAACTTGGATGGCGACACAACACCGGTGGCCCTGCGCCTGCTGCCCCTGCTGGCAGAAGAGCTGGCTCTGGACAGCAACAGGTGGGGAGCCTTCAGGGATCGCGGGTCTGCAATTACAAGGTCCAGGCGGCATTTGGGGCGAGGTCCTTACCTTCCTTCGGTCCCACCAAACGCCGCTGCATGTTGCGCCTGCCCCGCCATGCAGTGCGCCGCTGCTGTCGCTGTTCAGCACGCTGCGGCTGATGGCGGCTCTGGAGCTGGCGCTGCACCAGAATCTGGACGCGGTGGCGGCGCTGCTTGGCTGCCCCCTCAACCTGTTCGACCCGGCCCTGGCCAGCCCGCAGCAGTTCAAAAGCCTGCCCACGGAGCAGCGGCGCGGCGTGCTGCTGGGCCTGTGGTATGCGCTCAACTGGTGCCGCGAGCTTGCCAACTGCTTTGCGGGCCAGCTGGCGCCCAATGGGTGAGACACCTCTGGCTGCTGCCACCTGGTCGATGCTGCGGTGGGCCGGATCATGACCTGTGTGCCTGCTGCTTGGCCCTCTTGGGATGCGCCCCCGACCCTTCGGCTGCTCTGGGCGCAGGCAAGGCGAGGACTCCGTGCAGCTGAAGCTGTTTGGGCGGCTGAGGTGCTGCTGCCAGCTGGAAGCTGTACTGGATGTGCTGCTCCAGGTGTGGCTGGTTGGTGGGAGAGGGCGGTAGTCAAAACGGCCAAGCATGGCACCTGTCATGCGAGTGCAAATCGGTGCGCCAGGCATCATGGATGCAACCTGTGCCCGCTGCCATACCTGTGCCCGTGCCTTGCAGCATGCGCCGCCGCTGTTCACGCTGCCCCCCTTGGCAAACACGCTGGACAGCAGCCCCGCCAACTTGGCGGCGGCGGCGGCAGCAGCGGCCCCCAAGAAGGCGGGGGCCAAGGGCGGCGGCAAAGGCGGCAAGGGCGGCAAGAAGAAGGCAGTCAAATTTGAAGACGACGGCGACAAGCAGTCCTCGGGCAGCCCCGGTGCAGGCGCCGCCTCCCGCCACACCACCAGCGGCGGCGGCGGCAGCACGGTGCAGGCCACCAGCGGCGGCTCCATGCAGGCGCCCGGCCCCGCCGCCACACAGGGCATCACCGAGGCGGCGGCAGGCGGCCTTGGCCGGCTGGCAGCAGAGCGCTGGAAGCAGCGGTCGCTGCTGCTGCCCGCGCTGGCAGTGCTGGGGGTTGGGGCGGCACCGGGGCAGGAGCACCCCTGCTACGCCATGCTGCCCTCGGCCGCCTACCTGCTGGCTGATGTGCACAGGTGGGGGCTGCTTCGATCAAGGCAGGCAGGCACTGCTTGGGGCCTTGTTGTCCAAGGACAGGCAGGGTCTGCCTGAGAACCCAGGCTGGTCTTGTATTCAGCGTCTGGTTCTTCCTCTGCCTCTGCCTGCCTCCTCCCCGGTTGTGCAGCAAGCTGAAAGCCACGCTGGCGGCCGCCAGGCGCTCCAGCTTCCCCGGCAGGGCCCCCAAGCAGCAGCAGCTGGCGGCCGGTGAGCGCCTGCTCGTCTCCCTCTCCCGGGCCCGGCCTGGCCGGTGGCTGAGCTGAGAAGGGCACACGCGCTGCGCTGTTGCAGCCGCTGCCGCTCCCTCTGCTGGCGTTGACCCGCCCGCCTGGCACCTTCCCGCTGCAGACGTCGGGGAGCTGAGCACGGAGCAGCTGCTGGGCGCGCTGGCGCCGGTGCTGCCAGCTGTGCGGCGCCACCTGGACGCCGCCTGCAACATCATTGACCAGGAGCTGGGGGAGGCGGCGCTGCAGGAGCAGGACAGGGCCAACTTCTGGGAGCTGGTGGCCGCTGGAGGGCCCACCCAGCCGTCGGCGGGCGGCGGCGGCGGCGGCAGCCTGGGGGAGGCGGCGGCGGCGTGCATGGCGGCGCTGGACCAGCCCTGCGCCGCCGCCGCGCTGTCGCCCGTGGCCGCCGCCTCCAGGCACGCGCGGACGCTGCCGCCGCTGGGCCGGCACGCCTGCAGCATGACTGCCGGGCCACGCTGCCACCCTGCTGACGAGTGATGCTGCACCACTCGTGGTGACACAAGGCTCCTCACCGCCCCATGACGCGCCCTCCACTGCTTCGACCTGCCTCGCAGGGTGCGCACCCTGGCGCTGGACTGCGCTCGCCAGCTGCTGCAGTGGCCGGGCCTGGCAGAGCCAGCCAACCGCCCCGTGCTGCGCGCCTTCCTGGCGGCGTTCCAAACGGATGCGGCGGCGGCGGCGGCAGGCCAGGAAGCTGAGCAGGGTGCGTGCCTGCCGGCCAGCCTGCCAAACCCCACGTCTGCACCGCTTCGCTGGTCCACCCATCCCACAGCCTGCACCGGGCCCTGCGCAGGCCCCCCCTCGGACGCCGACCTTGCCAAGATGGTCAGGAGCTGCTTCCTGTACTTCATCGCGCCGGTGAGCCCCGCTCCGAGCCGGCGTGTGCATCTTGTGAGCGCGGTGCCAGCATGCCCGCCAGTCCCCCAGTTGCCTCGCCCACGCCGCTACCGTGCCGCCGCTGCTGCCGCCCGCACAGCTGCCGGAGCTGGAGTCTGACCAGCCCACCTGCGAGAGCCCCTCCCACCAGCACGCCTGCCTGCTGATGGTGGATGCGCTGCTGGGGCTGATGCCCAAAGTGGACCCAGGTGGGTGGGTGGGAGGCTGGGCGTCGGTGCATGCACGTGTGTGTGTGCGCCCGGCAGGATCACGTGGGAAGGTAGGGCATTACTGATGGGCACCTTGTTGTTGTTCTGCCTGGTCGCCGCAGAGCCCACCGAGAGATCGCTCAAGATCAGGCGGCAGATGAGGTGAGGCCCCTGGTGCCTGCCACGCAGACGGCGCGCCTGTACCTGCATGCTGTGCCCCTCAATCTCCCTGGAACGTGCATGGATGGAGGATGCTGCCGCATGTGTGGCAGCTGGCGCTTTTTTCTTGACGTGCGCAGCTGGCACCGCCTGGGCGCCCACTGCCTGCCGCCGTCACCCCTGTGTGCAGCAAGCGCATCAGCTGTGCGGCTGAGGCGGTGCTGAAGCAAGTGGTGGTGGACAGCAGCGGCAAGGTGAGGCAGCCTGGCTGGAACCCAGTTGGAGCAGCGCATCCGGCGGGGGTCCAGCGGGAGGCAGCGCCACCCGCTCTCCCCTGCTGCACCCCACCCAGCCCGCTGCGCCCGCGTGCCCTTTCCCCGCAGGATCTTGGCGGCGCGGTGTGGAAGGGGCGGGGCCCGCTGCTGGCGGATGTGCTGCGCCTGTACCTGAGCCACTACGGCACGCGGCGCGGGGACGGCGGCGGCAGCCCTGTGGATGCGGTGCTGGACTTGGCCTGCAACCGCCTGCCCCGAGTGCGCCTCGGGGCCGGCTCCTGCGCATTGTGTCGTGCCCATGCTGAGCCTGGCAGGCCAAACATGCGTGAGACGGTGGCCGCGAGCGAGGGGTGCCCCGTCAGCTGCTGAGTCCCTGCAGCTGAGCTGCCTGCTTGTGCGCCGCTGCCTGGGCGGGGCCTGCAGGTGGCTGACAGCACCAAGGCCAAGGAGGCCAGCGAGGCGGTGGACCCCTTCCCCTCCCTCAGCGGCAACACGGTATCCATCTGGTACCGGGTGTGCCTGGAGCAGCTGCAGGTGGGGCGGGCAGGGGGGCTGCATACGAGGTTTGGGTGTGTGGTGCGTGTTGAGAGGCGGCTGTAGCAGTGCCACCTGGATTGGACGCAGTCTTGTGCCGGCGAGCTGGCTGCCCAATGGAGCCTGCCCCGTGTCCTCACCCGCAACCTGTGGCGGTGGCAGGTGGGCTGGGAGGGCGTGGCGGCGGCGGCGGCGGGCGCGGAGAAGCACGGGGCCGCAATGAAAGACGAGGAGGCGCTGGAGACGATACTGGGTGGCATGCAGGCAAGCAGGGCGGGGGGTGTAGCGTGGCCGAGCTGCGCCTTGGATGGCTTGCTGTGCAGGAGGGCAGGGTGGGGCAGATGGGTAGAAAGTTGCTTCGACCGCGCGCACTCGCCCCTGAAAGGATGCGATGACCCGCACTGCCCCCCGCCCCTCGCAGTCGTGTGCCAGCGCCTTCTGCGCGCTGATGAGCGTGGTGAAGCGCCAGACGCAGCGCGTGGCGGTGAGCCCGCCTGCTGCATACGGCGCTGGCAGGCGCTGGCTGGCCGGCACCGCAGCCGCCCTTGGTCCCCTCTGCCTGCCCCTCACGCGCTGGCCTGCGGCCCTGCCCCGCAGATCCACGTGCAAGCGGTCAAGTCTGGCGGCAAGTTCCTGCTCACCTTCTTCAAGACCCTGCCCTTCTGGTCCCAGCTGTTCCCAGAGCGCCAGGAGGCGTTCCAGGAGATGGTGAGCTGGCAGCAGCAGGGCGGGTGCGGCGCCAAGACTTGGCGTGGCAGGCAGGCTGGCGCCGCCAGTGGCTGAGCAGCCAGGCCGGCAGCGCACAGCCGCAGCCGCCTGCCAGCTATGGCTTGTGCCAACTGCGTGTGTGTGTTTCTGCCTGGGCTGGCGCGTGCCTCCTCTGGCCCCCCCCTGTGCAGGTGAAGTACATCCAGAGGGGCACGCGCACGCTGCAGTACCTGTGCAGCGAGGGAAAGTTCCGCAAGGAGATGCCGCTGACCGCCAGGGTGGGTGGGCTGGCGTGGCGGGCCTGTGGCTGGGCCTGGGTGCGGTTGGGTCGGTCCTGGGGAGCCCTGGACGGGCAGGCCTGGTGGGCAGTGCCAGCGCGCTGGTTTTGATCGACGGGTGGAGCCCCGCCGGTGCGCTTGAACTGGAGCGTAGCGCTCCCCCCGAGCGCCCTGCCCTGCCTGCCGCGCCCGCTGCTGCCCCTGCTGCTGGCGCAGGTGCCTGCTGTGAAGCGCACGGTGGAGAGATTTATGTTCCTAATTAAGGCCTTCCTCACCGGTGGGTGGGATGAGTGGGTGGGAAGGGTGGGGTGGATCAGTGGACAAAGGCCGGGCAGAGAGCAATGGGCACAGGATTACGGCCAGGGTGGGGCTCTTGGTGTGCAGCATGCGGGTTGGACGCTCCTTCCGCATCCCTTGCCAGCCGCTGGCCGCCCGATCCCCTCTCCGCACGCCCTTGCGCAGAGGCCAACGCGGGCGGCGCCTTCTGGATGGGTTCGCTGAAGCATCGGGACCTTACGGGCCGCGAGGTGCCGTCACAGGTGGGCAGGCGGCGGCTTGGCGCAGCGGGAGAGCTGCACGTGGCGCGCATCCCTGGGGCCCTTCTGCCGGGCTGTGCAGTGACGTTGACGTTGGGGAGCGCACAGGGCGTGCCTGTTTGGATGTGATGGCGGTGTGTGGTGGCCCCTCCGCTCCTGCTGCTGCAGATGTATACTGAGGAGGATGCGGAGGAGGATGAGGGGGAGGAGGAGGCAGGGGAGTCTGACTATGAGGATGAGGAGATGGGGGACACGGCGGGGGACGACAGCTGAGGCCCCGGCGGTGCCTGCCAACTGTTTGATGGCAAGAGGCAGAGTCGTGTCTGGCTGGCGGTTAGTTCCACCCACAACTGATAATGAACTGAGGATCAGGCTGAGAGTGCAGAATGAAAGGTTACAGCGCTAAAGAATGCACAAAACAGCCTGCGAATTAAATATGCGGTTGGCCTGCAGCCAAACCAGCGGCAATATCAACTGGGGACGAAGTTCCAGCAAAGCAGATGCACATGGAAGGCAGACGGTGGTTGCAATGGATTCGGTTCCTTCTGGTTCGCTCACGGCGTCAGCCAAGCAGGAGGGGCCGCAGCGCTCTCGTGGCTCCTGCCGTGCTGTGCTGCCTATGCCGTGGCCGGCACCTCCAGGTACTGCTCAATCAGAGCCTTGTACTCCCGCTTCATCTTCACGCCCGGCAGGTTGGCCACCCGCTCCTTGTCCTTGAAGATCTGCGGCAGGCAGGGCAGGCAGCGGCAGCGAGGGGTGGGGGCGGAGGGTGGGGGGCCATGTAGGCAGGGCCAGGCAGCCCAGCTGGCACCAGCGACTCTGGCTCGGCTCCACACACGCCCGCACCTGCACCGTGGGCGTGCCCTGCACCCCCGCCGACTGCCCAATGTCTGGGTCCTCCTCAATGTCAATCTCCACGTAATGCACCTGCGCGCAGCGGCGGGGAGGCGGGCAGGCGGAGCAAGGCAAACACGTCTCTGAGCACAGGGCAAATGGCATCATGGAAAGGGTTCGTCGCGGCACAGCACTCTGAACTGAGGACGGTACTGCCGCGCCGCCTCGTCCGCCACCCCACCCTGCCGCAGCCGCACCTTTCCAGGGTAGTCTGCGATGACCTTGGCCATGATTGGCTTGAGGGTGCGGCAGGGGCCGCAGGTGGGTGCTGCAGGGGCAGGGAGGGCAAGGCACACAAACAAGCTCGTGCCGCGACAGCAGAACGACAGGACAACCATGCCAGGCCTGGCCCTGCAACTGAGCACCCCCGAAGCTCCGCCACCGGCGCCCTGCATCCACGCGCAGTAGATCCCACCCGCCCACCTGTGAACAGCACCACGATGGGGCGGCTGCTGGCGTGGTACAGCTTGCGCAGCGCAAACTGGCCTTGGTGGCGGTCGGCCTCGAGGTCAAAGGAGGCCTCCTCGCTCGCCTTGCGCGCCTCGGCGGTGGCGCTGCTGCTGGCCGCCGCCTCCGAGTGGCTCTGCGGCGGCGGCGGCGGGGGCAGGGCAGGGCGGGGAGGCGGGTGGAGGAGAAGAGAGGCGGCCCGCCTGCAGCTCGGTGGGCCCCACCGGCGCGGAGGTCTGCCAGGCGCCGCACCCGGGCCCCGCCAGCCACGCCCACGCACCTGCGTGGCCTCTGCGGGCTGCTCCTGCTGGGTGTGGATGGTGGCCAGGCCCTCGGCGCTGAGGTAGCGCTCCGCGCTCAGCGCCGCCATGCACCCGCTGCCCGCCGCCGTCACCGCCTGCCGCCACTCTGCGGCCGGGGACGTCAGCAGGGTGCAAGGGTAGGGTACGAAGGCCGGGGGACCGCACCAGTGCCGGCATCCCAGCGCTCAGCTTCGCCACGGCGAACAATTCACTTCCACCTTTCACCGATCACCCAACGCGGCGCCAGCCCGCCTAATTCCCCCACCCACCCACCTGTGTCATGTAGGTCCCCCGCAGAGAACACACCCTCGATGTTGGTTTTGCAGCCGTCATGCACCCTGACATACCCGCCCGCATCCAGCTTCCCCTGGCCGCCCAGGATGTCTGCAGCGTGGGCCCAGGAACCCGGCCGTTGCCGAAACGGTTGGCGAGGTGCAAGGGGGCGGGCAGCGGGGGTCAGCAGCAGCGGCATGGAGCGGGGTCCTGCCGCCCGGCTGGCCGCCCCTGCTGGCCCACTGCTTGCGCCGCCACCTGCACCCCCACCTGAGTTGGGCTTGTGGCCGATGCCGTAGAACAGGCCCCTGACTGGCAGGTCAAAAGTCTCGCCTGCAGGGGGGGCAGCAGCGGCGGCGCAGCGCCGGTGGCAAGATGCTGGCAGCGACCGACTGCTGGCGGCAGGCCCGCTGGGAGGGAGCCAGGCTGGGGTGGCCAGCAGCCCCACCTACCCGCCCGCGCGCCGCCCCTGCGGCCACCCACCCGTCTTTGCGTTGCGCAGGTGCAGGCCCTGCATGGCCTGCCCGTCCCCAAAGGCGTCGTCTATCTGGGTGTTGAAGTGCACGGTGACCATGGGGTGCTTCAGCACGCGGTCCTGCATCGCCTTGCTGGCACGCATCGCCTCGCCGCGCACCAGCAGGTGCACCTGCGGGGGTGGGGGGTGGGGTGGGTGGGGGGTTCACACAAGAGGCGCCAGCGGCGGCTTTCCCGGGCGCAACCAGCGACTGCCCTGTGGCAACGTCTCCAGCCTCTCCCCAGGCCCCCACCTGCGTGCGCGCAAACAGGGTGGCCGAACGGCTCCCAGGCAAGCACTACCCCTCGCCAATGGCGCGAAGAAAAGCGCGGCCAGTCTCTCCCCGCACCCATCGACCACCACACCACCTCCTCCTCCTACCCACCCACCCGCCCTTCACTCACGTGCGAGGCATACTTGGTGAGGTACAGCGCCTCCTCAGTGGCCGTGTCGCCGCCCCCCGCCACCGCCAGCTCCTGGCCCTTGAAGATGAAGGAGGCTCCGTCGCAGATGGCGCAGGCAGAGATGCCGCTGCTCCAGTACTGCGCGGCAGGTGGCAGGGCAGGGCGGGGGCACAAGCAGGTGGAGGGGCGGCAGGGAGCGGAGGCAGCCTGGGCGGCAGCAGCAGCAGCAGCGGGCGAGGAGGTGCCCCGCAGCCACCGGGCCCCGCAGCGGCGGGCCTGGCCACCTTCCCGGCCTGCCCCACCAGCCCCACCAGCCCCACCTGCTGCTCCGAGGGTATGCCCAGCTTCTTGGCGGTGGCCCCCGTGGCGATGATGACGCTGTGCGCCCTCACGGTCGTGTCTGTGCCGCGGATGGTGAAGGGGCGGGAGGAGAGGTCCACGGCCTCCACGTCCTCGGTGTTCAGCTGGGCACCCCAGCGCTCGGCCTGCGCGGCGGTGGGTGGGAGGGTGGGAGCGAGGGCGGGAGGTGGGGAGGGCGGGCGGGGTGCGGGCCACGATGCCGCCAAGTGCACAAGAAGGCCCAGGCCACCGTCCCAGCCTCTGCCCCTTTCTTGTGCCGGCGCGCGTGCCCGGCGCCAGCCCCCACCTGCGCCCGCATGCGGTCCATAAGGTCTGGCCCCGTGATGCCCTCAGGGAATCCCGGGAAGTTCTCCACCTCGGTGGTGGTCATCAGCTGCCCGCCCCGCACGCCGCCTGCACACCAGAAGCGCAGCCGGGCCCAGCCCCGGCGTGTCACGCGGGCATCCCGCCGCCCAGCCAGCCCCCAGCCAGCGGCGAACGCACTGCGCCGCGCCCCCCGACTCGCACCTGCGTTCACGCCCTCGTACACCAGCGGCCGCAGATTGGCACGGGCAGCATAGATGGCAGCCGTGTCTGCAGGAAGTGGGGAAGCCGGAGATCAGGTCGGTGTACAAGTCCCGCCAGGGTCCCCTCCTCCTCCTGGCAAACTAAGGCTGCAACATCTGCATCAGCCGTATGTGCACCCAGCGGTGTTGCAAAACGGATCCAGCTGCTGGGGCAGGGGTCGCCTACAGCAAGACGGCTGGCGGCGGCACACCCCCCGCTGCCGCCACCATGCGGCAGCACTCACAGCCGGCGGGGCCGCTGCCGATGATCACAACGTTCTCGACGTCGCTGCCATTGTTGGAGCCATTTGCGCCGTCTGCCCGCACCACCAGGCGCCGCAGGGAGGGCCTATCGCGGGCAAGGCGCCGTGGTGCCCGCTGCTGTGCGGCCGCCTGCGCTCCGCTGCTGCCCACATGGCGATGAGCAAAGGGCAAGGAGGACGCCCTGAACGCCCGCCGCTGGGCGGAGGCCCCCGCCTTGACTGCTGCCGCTGGAGCGCACCGTGCGACTGCCATAACGCGAGTCCAACAGAGGTATGGGTGTCAATTGGGTGCAATGCGCTACAGCTTGGATGCCGCAGAGCCTTCTAGTGGTGGGCGGCAGCAGGCGCCCCGCTGGCGGGCGGCGCTGTACGCTGTAGTAGGGTGGGCACGCCTCGAGTTACATCCGGACAACCGCAGTGCAGCAATGCACGCAACTGACAGGTCCACTGCATCCCAGCGCCTCTCTCTCTCGGTCAAACACCACAAATTGCAATGTCTGACGCTTGGTATGTGGGTCGCCTCCACAAGACAATCCCTTCAGCAGTATGCAGCCACTTTTGCCCGCTTCTGCGCCCGCTTCTCTGCCCGCTTCATGTTCTTCTTCTGGGCTTTGGTCAGCGCCGGGCCGTCGCCGTTGGCCTGCTGCTGGGGCTGCTGAGGCTGCTTCTGCTTGGGCTTCCCGCCGCCGCCGCCGCCACCGCCGCCGCTGCCAGACTGGGGCTGCTCCCGCTTGCGCTTCTTGCCGCCGCCCTCCTGCGCCTGCTGCTGCCTTGCCGCCTCCTGCCTGGCCTTTTTGAGCGTTGGCTTGGCAAACGACTCCAGCCGCCGCGCGGCAGCGCTCTTCTCGGGCTGCACCTCCTGCTGGCCGCCCTCCTGCTGCTGCCGCTGGGCCTGCTGGCCGTCCTGCCGCCACTGCTGCCCGCCGCCGCCCCTCTGCTTCCACTGGGGCTGCTGCTGGGCCCCATGCTGCCCAGGCCGCTGCTCCTGCTTGCCGCCCCAGTGCTGCTGCTTGGAGCCAAAGAGCCTGCCTCCGCCGCCGCCGCCGCGACGCTGCCCCGCCTTCTCTTCCCTCTCCTTGCGCAGCTGGTTGAGCTTCTGGTAGTTGGGGCGGAAGCGGCGGTGCTCCTCCCTGCACACAGACACCACCACACGCCAGGCCTCTGCGCATGCATCGTCCGAGCCGAGCGGGACAAGGGCGCAAAACAGCGAGGCGTACCCGCAGCGGCTGTATTCCCTGCCCTGCCTGCCCTGCCCTGCAAGGCTGCGCCCCCCTAAATAGCGACAATAGATGTGAGCCAAACATGCCTCCCCTTCAAACACCGACACACCTGTAGGGCGCCAGCGTCTTGAGGCCCACCACCTGGTTCAGCTCCTTGTCGTCCATGGCCAGAATCTCCTCCACCCCCAGCCCAAAGGTGTCGGCCGGCACCTCCTTGTACCTGCAGGCAGAGAGGGCCGGGGCGCACGCCATGCATGGTGCAGGGCACATGCCAGGCACAGCCGGGCATGGCTGGGCAAGGCGGCGCATGCCCGCACTAAGCGGCATTTCACAGAAGGGACCCACCCATGCCACTGCCCTTCCCGCCCACCAGTCCCTCCCGTCCCCACCCCACCCCGCCCACCTGAAGCGCGTGGGTATGCCCCCCACCACATCCTCGTAGTTCAGCCGGTAGTACTCCTCCAGCAGGCGCTGCACCTCCGACCGCGCCCGCGCCGCCGCCTCGGGGTCGCCCCCCTCCTCCTCCTCCTCGCCCTCCTCATCACCCTCCTCCTCCTCCTCCTCGTCTTCGTCTTCGTCTTCCTTGGTGCCTGGTGCAGGCACACGGGCAGGGGCGGCGGGGCGCAGCGTGAGAGGCAGCGGGTGGTGGCGTCGCCGCGAGTTGGGGCGAAAAGAGGGAAGCGGGAGTGTCGTTGGCTAGGCATGGAGCACGGGGATGCAGTGCAGGTTGCGATGAAGATGAGATGGAGTGGGGCAGAGCGGGTTGTGCCGCCGGCTGCGAGTGGATCAGCCGGCGGCAGAGATGCCGCATGCTGCGCGGTTGCTGTGGCGTGCTGAGAAAGCACGGGGCCCATCCAGAGCGTCGCCCGGTGCAGAGTAACACGCACATGATGCAGGCAGGGAAGCAGGCAGGCAGGCGGCGGCAAGCCGCGCAGGGCGCTGCCCTATGCGGCATGATGGCACGAGCGCAGCAAAGGCCAGCAGACGGATGGGCACCGGCCATGCGGCGCCTACCCCCTCCCCGCCCATGCATGCAGACCCACCTGCCGCCGCCTGCTCGCGGCGCTGCGCCGCCAGGCGCTTGTGCAGGGCGGCAAACGTCTGCGGGTCGTCGTCGTCAGACCCATACCTGGCCATCGCCTCCAGCTCCCGCTCAAACACCTCGTCAGCCAGGTCATCCTCCTCCTGCTCCGCGCCGCCCTGCGGCGTGGCGGGAGGGAGGGGAGAAACGGGAGTCGGCGGCGGCGGTCAGCGGGGCAGGGAGCCATGGCCGGGCGACACACCAGCTGCACATGCCTCAAGCCCGCCAGTCTGCACCACACCACACCACATCACACCACACCGCACCGCACCACACCACACCGCACCGCACCACACCACACCGCACCGCACCGCACCACACCATCCTGCACCCCGCCCGCCCCGCTCCCTCCTTCCCTCCCCGTCCCGCGCCTCACCGCCTCGTAGTAGTCGTCCCCAAAGGCGGCCGCCATCTGGCGGTCGTACTCCTCAGGGTCAAAGTCGCCCGCCACCAGCGCATCCAGCACCTCGGGCCGCGGCGCCGCCCTGCCCGCCACGCTCTGGATCTCGTGCAGCCTGCCGGGGCGGGCAGTTGGTGTGTGTGTGTGTGTGGGTGGGTGTGAGTGGAGGTGCAGGTGGGGAATGGGTGGGCTGGGGTGGACTGGCTGGGGCGCGGCGGGCCGGGCCACGAGATGTGGAGGCCCAAGGAGCAGGAGGGCCAGAGCCGAGCAGTCTGGCGGGCTGGCACAGACCTCACCCACACCCTCGGCCCCATGCCCCGGAAACGCCACCCGCCTGCCGCCCAGCCCGGCGTCTACTCACTTCTCCTCTATCTCCGCCTTCTTCAGGTTCTTCAGCCGCCGCACCTCCGCCTGCCGCGCCGCCTCCTCCGCCGCCTGCCGCGCCGCCTTGTCGGCGCGCGCCCGCTTGCGCCTGTCGTCCGCCTTGCGCACCGTGCCGTCAATCTGCAGGGCGGCAGCATGCGGCGACAGCGGAGATTGGGGCAGGGGGTGATGCAGGCGGGTGGGCACAGCAGGCCACCAGTGCCGGATGCGGCGAGAAGATGGGCAGAAGCAGCTCAGAGAGCTGGAAGGCCAGCAGGTAGTGTTGTTGCGGCACGCCGGACGCCGAGGCACGGGGCACAGTGTGGCCCGGCAGCCTGCGCACGTTGCGGGGGTGCGTGACGATGGTGGCGCCGCCCGGCTCCTCAAACCGGAAGTTGTAGGCGTGCTCGTACTGCTCTGCAGGGTGTGGTGGGCAGGGGGCGGAGAGATGTGCCGGCGTCAGCATGCATGCAGGGGGCGTGGCAGGTGCGCAGGCCCTTCATTCCCAGGTAGCTCGTTCGAATTACGGCGCCAGGCGGCCCAGCAGGTGCGCAGGCCGCCACATGCTTGCCTGCCTGCTCCACAAACTGCTCGTCCTCCTCGTCGTCCACCGCTTCGCCGCCATGCCCCTCATCCCCGTAATACTCATCATCCCCCTCCTCCACCCATCCCTGCAGCAGCGCCGCAAGCGCAGGCAGACGGGCAGGTGGAGGGCAGGCCACCGAAGCAGGAGAACAGGAGGACGGTGCTGTGCGCCTCCTGCCGCAGCCTGCCTGGCAGGCCCCGAGCGGCTGAGCAGCCGTACCGCACCTTGTTGAGGATGTACCGCTTCAGGAACTTGTCCTCCGCGCTCAGCTCCGCATCCCGCCCAAAGTAGCCGTCCAGCAGCTGCTGCACCCGCGCCTCGTCATCCTGGCCGGCGCCGGCGCCAGCTGCCTCCTCCCCTTCCCCCTCGTCGCTGCTTCCGTCGCTGGCCGCCGCCTGCCTCTGCTTCTTCTTCTTGGGCCGCTGCTGCAGCACGCCGTCACCAAAGCCGTCGCCGCCCTCGCCGCCGCCGCCTCCACCCTCCACATTCTCCTCAAATGCAGCCAGGAAGGCCTGCTTCAGGTCTTGCTGCTCCTGCGTGTATGTGCGCGGCTGCGGGCGCGCCGCCGCCGGCTCGCCCTCGTCCGACGACGCCCCGCCGCCCTCCACCGCCTGCTTGTAGATCACATCCTTCAAGTACATGGGCTTCTCCTTCTTGGCCTTCTTGGGGGCGGGGTCGGCGGCGCCTGCAGGCGGGCGGCAAAGGCAGGCCTCAGCAGATGGCCAGCCGCCTGTTGCGAGGTCATCATGCCGCACCTCGGCAGCGGCGTGGGGTGCGATCATGGGCGAGCAGCGGCAGCTGCGGCGGAGGGCCCCGGCCCCAGCGCGCAGCATGACAGCCTGCCTAGCTGCAGCGAATCCTGCCAGCCAGAAGCAACACCGGCAGACCGCCAGGCCGCGCACCTGTGCCTGCCTCATCCTCGCCGTCGCTGCTGCTGTAAAACTTGGCCTGCGCATCGTAGATGCTCTGGTCGCGCCTGCGGATCTTCAGGATGGTCTCAAAGATCTGGGCCTGCGTCTTGGCATCAATCACCCCCGCATCATCGTCCTCGTCATCCGAAGACGACTCGTCCTCCTCCTCCTGCTCCTGTGCTGCGCCGCCCGCTGCTGCATTGGCGGCGGCAGCGGCTTTGCGTGCGTGGCCCTGCAGCGGCATGAACGCAGGCGGGTCTGGCTGTGAGCAGCCTGCTTGTTTCCGTGGAGCTTGTGCGTACACCGCCTACGCGAGACCGGGCAGCACCGCATCAACCTGTGGCTCATATACGGACGGTGGCACCAGGCATTGGACCCACCTTTGCTAATCTGGCTGCCTGCTCCGGATACTTTTCCTGGAGGCGGTGCAGCTCCTCGCGCTTCTTGTTGTGCTGCAGCGGCGACAGAAGCAGCGGCGGCGGTGGCGGCAAGTCGGCGGCGGATCAGGTGCTGGCCCCCGGTGCGTCACTGCATGTGTCACCACTTCCACCGCACGAGTGCAACATTATCTGCGGTGCTGTGCGCCACGGGTGGCTGCAGCGCCACGGGTGGAGCAGTCACGCTGCATGGCTGCGGGCAGCCCACCTCGAAGCGTTTGGCGTAGTCCTCGTTCACACGCAGCTGCTGCACATGCTCCTCTTCGTCGTCGTCAAACAGCGACTTGGTCATGGCACCTGCTGGGTTCGCATGCAGCGACTTGCAGTGCCTGTATATGTCAAATAGCCAGGGGTTCCCTGCCGATGTCGGTGAGGGGCCCAATTTTGCCGCCGCTGTAGAGCGGGACGATGTACGGTCCGTCCTTCCCAGGCTCCTTAAAACGCCCTGGCCCAGGTCTGACCGCCGCATCGTCCGCGCCCCAGCATTTCAACATTGCCAGATCGCTCAGAGGCATACAGCCTGTCGCCCGCTGTCACTGGCCAGAGCCTGGGGCCCATGAGCGGGCCTGCGGCGGTGCAGGACGCGGTCCCTGGGCCGCCCCCGCCGGAATGCAGGCTCAGGCTGATCAGGGTGAAGCGCAAGCGGGGCGCCGAGGCCCCTGACGACCTGGGTGAGGCTCCTGGCAGCTTCTTGGGCGCACAACAGCGTCGTGCAGGCATTGCTCAGAACCCTTGGTCCGCCAGGAGCAGCCCTGCAGGCCTCGCCCACCACCGCCTGACGCCCGCACACCGACCCGCTCCTGTCTTCCGTGCCTGCAGTCGTGGAGGGGCTTGAGGGGCCAGGCAAGCGGGCACACACCTCCCTCAGCAGCGCAATGGACGGCTTGGGCCTGGAGCAGGGCGAAGCAGGCGACGGCCAGCCGGCTGCAGGCGACACCGATGCAGAGCACATCGCTGCTGCGCCGCAGCCGGCCCGCCGTATGCAGCGCTACCGCAAGCTCAGCACGCTGAGCGCGGCTCAGCTGCGCGGTATCGACCAGATGCAGCTGTACAGCCTGCTAGCCAGCGGCCACCAGCAGCAGCAGGAGGGGCAGCAGCAGGCGCGGCAGCGCGTGGGCGTGAAGAGCACGGCGGCGGCGGCGGGGGCGGGGGCGGGGGCGGGGGCGGAGCGTGCCGTGCAGCAGCTGCAGGCGGGGCAGGCGGCGCGGTATGAGCACATCCGGCGGCGCCGCGGCCTCAGCGCCTTCACCATCACAGAGCAGTCTGCCGACCCTCTGCAGCACCTGGCCAGTGTGTATGATGTGGTGCGGCACGAGCCGCAGGCAGGGCCGGCAGGCAGCGAGGCGAAGGCCACTGGGGAGCAGGACGGCGTAGCGGCCGCAGCCGCACAGCAGCAGCACCAGGGCCGGCAGCATCAGCAGCATCAGCATCGGCGGCCCAGCCGGGCGCAGCGTGCGGCGCAGCAGTACGATGAGGGCACGCTGCTCTGCAACTACTTGCCCATGATTCGAGAGTACCTGCAGGCGCAGGGGCGCCAGCTGCCAGACCCTGCTGCGCAGCAGGCGGGGCAAGGAGCAGCGGGCGGCAGCCAGGAGGCGCCAGCTGGCATGGAGGAGGATGGCGGAAGCGGCAGCGACGGCGAGTACGTGTATGATTTGTACGCTGTGGTTGACGATGTCCCCGAGGGCCAGGCGCAGGAGGAGGGCTGGTGGGAGCTGCACACAAGCGGGCACGCACCCATGGTGCAGGTGCGCCGCCCGCTTGCCGCCAAGGGGTGCCGTGGCGCAGGGTGTGGGCGCCGCACTGGTCTGCCCTAGGCTGCAGCAAGTCGCCTCCGCTTCGAGTCCCCGGCCAACTGCCTGCCCCGCCCAGCTGCTGCCCTTGCGCTCTTGCCTTGGCACACCACCATGCGGCGCAGATCCTGGATGACGACAGCTGGGTGGTGCTGGAGCAGTCGGATGCAGAGGACTCGGATGCCGACAGCGAGGACTCCAACGCCGAGGGCTTCTATGCCCACGACTACCCTGGTGGGTGGGTGGGTGGGTGGGGAGGGATGGTTCCACGTTGGGCGTAGTTTCACCAGCAAACCGGTAAGGTTAGGACCTGAGCCCTTGTCCTCCCTACCCGCCATGTGCTTGACCCCTCCCTCCTGACTCCTGACTGGCGCACTGCCCGCAGACGAGGCCTCTGATTTGGACAGCTCTGACGATGATGGATACGACCCAGAGGGTGGCACGTTTGGCGGCAGGCAGCGGCGGCAGCACGGCTGGGACTCTGAAAGCTACGGTAGCAGCGACGATGGCTAGCAGCCCGCCGCGCCCCTTTGCAGCTAGCCCGGTGCACTCTCCAACGACGTTGTATAGAACTGCCTTTAAAGTGCATCAGAAGCTTACAGTGAACAGCGGTACCTAGTTTAAGGGCATGAGATGTATCAAATTGCGTTTGTTGTCTCGGCCTGTGCTGCCAACACACTCGCCGGCTTCGTCGTTGGTTCAGTTCTGCTGCAAATACAGTTGGCACGCTCCAAGCAGATGATGGAGGGCCAGGCGTAGATGATCCAGGCGTAGATGAGCTGGATGTTAGTATCAGATCAGAGCTGGCGGTTCATTTCCTATATCAAAAACTCGGGCGGCGCCTGCTGAGACCATCCCCGCCGCTGCGCCTCAGCATCGGTTGAAACAGCCTCTACCTGCAAACCACAGTGGCGGTAGCAGCCGTTGATGTGACGTGTGAGGATCACTGTGCATGTGCACATGTCCGTTTACAAAACCGCATTCTGATGTTGCCTCAGATGCCATTGTATCTGGGCTGCTGCATACACAGCACAAGGAGCAGTCGTGCCTCAGTAGTACGATAGCCGCGCTAGCTCACCCTGCCGTCCCCCTCCTCCTGCTGCTCTTGCTGCTGCTCCTGCCGCTGCTGCCGCGACGCTCGGCCGCTGCTCGCCCCCGCATTGCTACCGCTGCCGCGGCTCCTGCCGTAGCTGCTGCTGCTGGTGGCAAAGGGGTCATTGGCCAGGTTGGACTGCAGCAGCAGCTTGGTGGTGGCAGCCCAGTGGTCCATTTCCAGAGCGGGGGTGCCTGCAGGCTTGCAGCCGGGAGGCGGCACCTCATGCAGGCCATGTGCAGCCATCAAGCCCGGGCCTCCCGGCCCAGCAGCAAGCAAACAAGCATACAGCATGCATGCTGTATGCACTGAAATGCAAACGCAGGCGAAACAGAAAGGAACACCTGCCTCCACCCGGCCCGCCGTCGCACCTATCACACGCCCAATCTCTATCGCCGGAGCGCCTCCCACCAGCGTGCGGGGCGGCACCTCACGCAGGACCAGGGAGCCGGCTGCCACCTGGGCGCTGTGCCCCACCCGGATGTTGCCCAGGATGCGGGAGCAGGCGCCGATGAGCACATTGTCGCTGATCTTGGGGTGGCGGTCGCCGTCCTCCTTGCCCGTGCCTGTACATGCAGCAGCGGCGTTGATGTTGCTGGAGGTGGTGATGGTGTGTTCATGGGGAGGCAAGAGGTTTGGACGAAGCTTGCACGCAAAAATGTGCCGGCACATGCCACCAGACATCCCTATCGGCCCCTTGCCGCGTGCCCACCCACCTCCCAGCGTCACGCTGTGCAGGATGGACACATTGTTGCCCAGCACCACAGTCTCGCCAATCACCACCCCCTGCAACCACGGCAGCCATGCGGGCAGACTCGTCCTGGAGTGCTTCCGTCAGACAGAACAGCTGCCACCTGCCCACACAGACCAGCAACCACACCATGCACAGGAGGCGCTGCACTGCTTACTGTCGCATGGTCGAGCAGCACGCCAGACCCAAACTTTGCGCCTGGGTGGATGTCCACGGCAAACGCCTCGCTCATGCGGCTCTGCAGCGCCAGCGCCATCACGCGGCTGCCCCGCACCCACAGCTCGTGTGCCAGGCGGTGCGTCTGGATGGCGTGGAAGCCCTTGAAGTGCAGCAGGGCGTGGTTGTATGACAGGCAGGCCGGGTCCTGCACGCGGCACGGGGCGCACCAGTTAGCGGCCCCGGGATGCAGACCTTGGGCACACTTGATGGTGAGAAGGTGGGCCAGCGCTTGGCTGCAGATGGGGCAGCAAGTGGGCAGCCTAGCCCGACGTGCACTCACCCTCTCGTGCACGGCGCGAATGTCGGCCACCGCCGCCTCTGCAATCTCTGGCCGCGTGTGCAGCAGCGAGCAGAACAGGTCGAAAAGCTCAGTCTCCTGAAGGGTGGCGTCGGCCAGGCGGTGCGCCAGCACAAAGGCCAGGGAGCGCTCGAACGAGTCGTGTGACAGGATGGAGGCGTGGAGGAAGGAGGAGAGCAGGGGCTCCTGCGCGGCATCAAGCTCCGTCTGCCGCCTGCAGAAGCCACGTGAGCAGCAGTGTTCATGCCACAGGCCTGCCGCCCAACAGCCACTGCCCAGTCGGCTGAGGTGCCTGCCCATTGCCCAGTCAGCTGAGGTGGAACCGTGGCCGGCCTGGGCCGCTCTGCACTGCTCACCGAATGACCAGCCAGACGAGCTTGGTTGCGGCCGCGGGCAGGCTGCCCTCGATGTCGGCTCGCAGGACGCCCTCCTCCCACCCCTGGCAGAACTCCACAATGTTGCCTTGCTGCATGTAGGTGGGCAGCGAGCGGGCATGCCACAACTCGTAAGGACCGCCGCCGGCTTGCTGCGCAGCCGCCGCATCCTGGGGCCCTGGCACCGGCGGAGGGGCGCCTGCACGAGAGCATGGTTCATGAGTGAGTGAAGGGGACACATTGCGAGTGCTGCATCATTGTGCTGCAAGTTTGCCTCGTTCCCGTGGTACCAAGGTACTGCGTCCGGCACTGGCATCAGCGGTGGTGACCCCCCCCTTGGGAGCCTGCAGCAACAGATCACGGCAGATGCAGCTCACCTGGGCCGTTGCCACGAGTTGCTGCTGTGCGCAGAAAGGGTCTGCCATCCGGCCATCGGGCCACACATGTGGCGCGACCAACTGCCGCGGCTGCCTTGCACCCAGAGCTAGCCATCGGCACCCCGTCACCACTTCTGTATCGCAGGCAGGTCGTCAGGCTCCACGCTCAGGGATGCGGAGGTCTGTGCGAGTGCCTGCAGGCGGCCGCTGTTGCGGAGAGGCGCATGGAATAAGAGTAAGACTAAAGCGAAAGCAGTGGATCACTTTGACGAGCGACGCAGCAGCATGCCACCTGCTGGCACTCATGCCAGCACTTGCCGCTGCCCCCTTCCGTCCCTGGCGCTGGTCCATAGCAATGCACCTGGTGTGGTCGTTGGTTGGTCCTGATTGCAGCTGAGCCTGCCAAAAACAACACAGGTAGCACACAGCAAGCAAACACTAGGAAGCAGGGCAGGGAGAGATGGAGGGATCAGTGTGGCGTGTGCATGGGTGAGTATGCATGTGCGTTCACGACGCCTTTGGGCAGCAAACAGTGCGTCAACAGTCAGGAGGAAGCGCGGAAAAGAATGCTGTCGCAAATCAGTACTTTGTGAAAACAGGGTTGCCCCCACTGAGGGAGGAGGGGGCCACCAGGAGTCTACGGAATAGCAACAGGGCACAACATGGGTCGTGAGAGCGGGAGTTTAGGTAGCTCCGGGGAGCTAAAGGCTAAAGCTCTTCGCAGCGAGCGACTGCACAGCTCCAGCTTCCCATGACCCGCCTCAGTCTAGCTAGAAGTACGAGCATACAAAACTGCTGCCGTGCAGACCACGGTACAGGGCTTCTGATCCACTCAGATAATGAAGTCCCTGCAGCAAATTCAAGAAAAACAAGCGAGATGGGGTGTGTGGTGCCCGCTGAGCAGCACTGGGTGGCTGCCCCCGAATGCAAGCTCCCATTCGCATTGTTGAAGCGCAGTGCCGACGGCGTGCATTTGTGACTCACAAGATGAAGCCGGACACCTGGTCCATCTGCTTCACCGGCTCCTCAAACTCATCCAGCCGCTTGATGACCTTGGCGGGCACGCCGACTGCACACCAGCATGGGCCAAGTTGGCAGCCATTCAAGGAACCCATCAGGAACTACTACCAATTGATTGAGCAGCAGGGCCCCAGGCAAAGCACTCGGAACTAACAGTGCAGCCATGTGGCAACAAGCAGCAGCAAGCACCACTCACCAGCTACTACATGCGGCGGCAGGTCGGTGGCAACCACCGAGCCGGCGCCAATCTTGGAGCAGTGCCCCACAACCACCGGGCCCAGCACGCTGCATAGCACGCGAGATGCGAGCGCGACAACAGTCAGCTGTGAGTTGACGTGCCTGGCAGGTAGTCGATTAAGGCAGTTAGGCAAGGCAGGCACGCAAGCCAGAGTGCACAGGGCTTCGACCACACGAGGCTGCTGCAACCTTCCCCACCTGACGCCAGCGCCCAGCAGCACGCCGTTGCCCACCACCGGGTGGCGCATGCCCGTGCCGGTGCCGCTGCCGCCCAGCGTGACGTGGTGAAGCATGGACACGTTGTCGCCCACCACCGCCGTCTCGCCAATCACGATGCCTGTGGCATGGTCCATCATCACGCCCCACCCCAGCTGCGCCGCAGGGTGGATGTCCACACCAAACACCTCGCTCATGCGGCTCTGCAGCGCCACAGCCAGCGCCTTGCGGCCGCGCTGCCACATCCAGTGCCCCACGCGGTGCGCCTGGATGGCCTGCGGGCGGAACAGGCCAGAGCAGCCAGATGGCATGAGCCGGACCGCAGCACAGCGTCAAGGGCGTGCGCCAAGGGCGGGCTGGCACTAGCCCCCGCTGGAACAGAAAAGAAGCGTTGCATCCTGCACACCCCAGGCCCAGCCCCTGCGCACCTGAAAGCCCTTGAAGAAGAGCAGCGGCTGCACAAAGGAGTCGCAGGCGGGGTCACGTTCAACCACCGCCTGCAGATCTGCTACCGCTGCCTCCACCAGTGAAGGGTCGTCCTGCAGCGGCCAGCAGGGCAGCAAGTGTGAGGGGCACAGCAACCTCGCAGAGGAGCTCTTGTGCACGGACAGCAGCACTGGCATGCTTCCCGGTGCAGCCCAAAGCTGCCACCCCAGCAAGCTCACCTCGTACGCTTCCACAAACAGCCGCGTCAGCTGCGTGCCCAGCAGCGTGCTGCTCTGCAACTTGTTGGCCAGGATGAATGCAAGGCTGCGCTGCAAGCTGCTGTGCATGATGACCGTCATGTGCGAAAATGATGCCAGCACAGGCTCTGCAGGCAGGCAGGGAAAGACAAAAGAATGGAAGCACTGGTGCAGCTGGGGGAGCACAAAGGGCAAGTCTAATTGTCCGCTATGCCTGCGAGGGTCTGCACGCACCTGAGGCTGCCACGTCTCGTGCATCCTGCCGTATGCGCTCCCATAACTGCTGCTGCGTGAGGGTGGTGGACGTGGGCTCCCACTTGTTGTGCGCCAGTGCGTCCGCCGCTTCCACTCGTGGCGTGGCTGCAAGCGAGAGGTGCGTGTGCAGCGCTGTCCATTCAGCCTCGCTGTGGTGCGAGTCCGCGTTTCTAGGGCCAGAATGGCCATTCATAAACTCTCGCAGCGCTGCCGGCATAGAGGCGGCAGGGCTGGCTGCTGCCGCCGCTGCGGCCCGCGGGTCGGGGCGGGAGGTGGCGGTGCAAGGCTGCTGCGAGGCACGGCGACTGGCGTTGGGCCGCGAAGCGATGCAAGAATGGCCAAGAGTCAATCTTTCGCCCCAGTGCTGGCTCATGGAGCGAGCTGCGGGGCATCCCCGTGAGTGCATCATGCAGGGGGGTGCGGGGCCCTCGAGACGCGCACGTAGTGATCTGATCGAATGCGGGATAGCGCTTAAGCGCGCCATTTAAAGCGAAACCGAGAAGAAGCGAGAGGGTGCCAGCAGGGAGTTACCAGCAAAACTGCACCGCCGTGGCTTGAGAACCCTAGCGCGGCTTCCCACCCACAACAGAGGCATGCAATGAACGAAAACTCCCCATTGCAAAGCCACGAAATGGATGGGCTTGGGGGAGGGGATTGCAAGCTCAGCATTGGGGCAGCCAGGTGCTGCCGGCGGGCAGGGACGAGAGAGGGCGGGCCGCGACATAATTTGAACTGTATAGAGAACGCACCATAGCCACCCCAACCCATTTGGAATTTAAGTCTCCTCTCAACACATTTCGCGGCCCCAGCAGATTAAGCGAAAGTGAGGAGCACCGCCGTGCGGCACCCGGACAGCGAACCATAATGTTTTTGCCCCAGTCGCAACGCCACTCGACTCAGACCAGCCAGGGTTCGAAGAACCCCAGGTATTGGGCCAACAGCAGCAGATGATCATTGATGCTGAAAGCAACAATAACCATGCCGAAGAACCATGCATCTGCTTATGTCCACAGCACGCCGCCCTGCCGTGTGCACGACCACGACACGTGTGCATAGTGCAGAGCCAACACCACTAACAGATGCAGCGAAAAGAGCCCGCAGTCCCACCCACCTTCCAGCAGGTCGCCCGCCAGCTGTCGGTGCCACATGTCCTCGTTGACGCGCTGCGCAAAGCGGGCCGCGCGGATGGTCAGCAGCGAGTGCTCAGAGCCGGCCACCCGTCCCCGCCTGCCGTTGACGAGGAGGCTGCTGCAGGGCTGGCCGCTGGTGCTGGGCGGGCCGCTGCTCAGCTCCCTGTCTGCTGCGATGGCTGTTGCCAGCGGGGCCCGCAAAGGCTGCCGCGACCGGGTGGCGGCGGCGGCGGCGGGCAGCGGCGCCTGCTGCACTCGCCCGATCGTGCTGACCGCTGCAGCCAAACACCAGGGCCGGCGGTCAGGAGGGGCATGCGGGCAAGGCGTGAGCGTGTAAGGCCCGAAGCGTGGTGAGAAGGCCTCCTACCTTGTGTGGCCGCCTGCATGGGCGTTCTGGAGACCACTTTACGGGTTCTGCTGGGGTTGGGCGGGCCCCGCGGGCTGCAAGCTGGTGGTTGGGCGTCCGCTGGAATCGCGCTCTGTGTCAAGCAGGCTCAGTTGTGTAGACCCCAGAGCTGGCGTTGCTGGCGTTTGTGTACTCTCCAGAAGGAGCCAGGTAAATTTCGGCTGTCTGCAGGCTCACCTAAAGGCTGACCTTCCAGCGCGTGCCAAGTGGCTGCCGGACAGTGGCGGCGGGCTGGGCCCACTTCTGGTTGCGGTAAGGTAACGTGATCAGGACGCCCATGGGGTTCTGACGCGCTAGCCATCTGCCGCCGCCCCCACCCTCGCCCCGGCCAAGTGCCCGCCAAGTGGCCCCCCCGTGTGCGCCCCGGGCCAAGCAACTCCGCTAGTGAAATGGCCAACACTCAGGGCTTCTATCAGAGCAGCCACGATGCATGAGCAGTGGCCGCTGGGCCTCCTGCCCTGGCATGCATCCCAGCGATGGAACAATCCTTGTGCCGGCCCCCAACTATGACGGTGACGGTCTTCTGACGGCAGTCTAGCACCGCATGCAGAACAGAAACAGCTGGGCATCCCTGCCTTTGATGCTGGGGCCATGGGGGCACCTGGAGCGTTCCATGCACCTCTCTCGACAACAGGGTAAGGGACGGAGGAACCTTCCCTCCTCACGAGCTGGGCGCCGCCAGGTGTCAAGCCACTCCCGATCCTACAAATCGCGGCCGTTGGGGAATGCTGCATTCGTTCATTTGCGACCTTCTACTGCTTGCGGCCTGCTCTACACCTTTGCGGTCACACTACTCTACCAACCACTGGCATCATGACGCGTTCTCCCCGGGCGGCCGCCCTCCTCCTCCTGCTGGCCCTGGCGGTGCACGGTGCCTCCGCCATCTGCGGCCCCGATTGGACACGGCTGAAGATCAGGCACGGCAAGGTGGTAGGTCCCTTCATGCCAGACGACGCGGTGGCAATGGCCACCATCAGTGAGGACACCTTCCGCCAAATCCGGGGAGGCATCAGCCGCTGCAAGCTCCTGTCAACCGATATCCTGCGGGCCTGCAAGAAGGTAGGAGGCTTCAGGGGAAGGGGTTGGGTGCCTCTGGGCTTGCAAAGTGCACCTTCGCGACGCGTCCGCCCCCCCCGACTCCTGCCCAGCTGCACACCCACTTGCTACGTCCCGCCACGGCTCCATGCAGCCCGTGATCAAGAAGAGCGTGATCCAGTTCGTCCGTGTGTGAGTGTTCAGAACTTGCGGCCCTATGCGCCGCTGGTGCCCGCGCTGCTCCATGCCGCCTGCTCCATGCCGCCAGCTGGCATGCCGAGCCCCTCGTGTTTCGTGCCCTCCCCTGCTCCCCCTTCTCACTGCCGCCCTTGTCCCTCCCGCCCCGCAGTGATTCCGTCATCCAGTTCAACCTGAGCTGCAAGGTGGCTGACTCTACATCAGCTGCGAGGCACACACGCACACATGGCCTGGCCCTGCCATCAACTAGCTCCTGTTGTTGCTCTGCTGTCGTGACCTGGCGGCGCCACATGCAACCAACTGCTCACAACCCCTCTCCCTCGTCTGCCGTGCAGTATGGCAAGCGTGCCCCGGTGGCCCACACCGCTCGCTACAGCTCCACCGCCAATATGCACAAGCGGCAGCCCGCATACCTGCTCGCCAACAAGGTCCGTTTCCTGAGCTCCAATTGAATGGGCAACACGCCGCTGAGGCTGAATCCATCATATGATTGAGAAGGGTCTGCTGTGATGCAAAGTAGTTTTATAGCCCATCTACTATGAAACACCACTACATGCCAAGCCCTAGAAGCCGTGCCTTTCATCGTTAGTACACTTTATCTACTCCCCTCCCCTCAAGGCCTCCTCTGCACCACCTGAATAAAGCTGCAACCACCTGCACTTTCTCTGAAGCTGCTCACCATTGCAGTATCTCCTGTAATGCGGTCGATTAAATCGGTGGCAAGCCGCCTGCGGTCACAGTGCGATGCGTCACCAGGTAGCGCATTCATTCAGCACACAGACCGGCCGCCTCTTGCTCGAGGGCGGCCCACTTTGGCCTGGGCAGCCCGGGCCGCCCTCCCCCCCGGGCGCATGTTCGGTGTTGGAGGGGTGTGCCCAGCGATAGGGGGCCCCTGAAGGCATGCGCCGAGGCCGGGAAGCGTGGTTCGGCGCTGCTGCACGCTTGGCGATTTGAACAGAACCACGTGCCGCCGAGCTGCGGCCGCAGTTTCCGGCCCACGGTCTACGGTCGCAGCCACGGGACTCGGCGGCACGGCGTTTCGGTCCACGGCTTGCTGCCGCCGCCGTCGCAGGGGTGCTGCCTGCGGCGGCGGCGGCACGGCGTTTGGGTCCACGGCTTGCTGCCGCTGCCGCCGCCGCAGGGGTGCTGCCTGCGGCGGCGGCGGTAGCGCACGTGGCAACCCCCCGCGTTTCCTTGCCTCCCATCCACCGGACCCCGTCCTGCGCTTCACTTTGTTTAGGGAGGGGCTGCTCACTGCTCATTGCTCATTGCTCATCGCACACTGCTCAACGCTCATTGCCCTATATCCCACCCAGCCGCAGGACTCCACTGCCGCCCGCGCCCCGCCCCATCTGGCCGCTTGCGCGCCCCATCCCCCCTCGATGGGGCCCGCCCACACCGNGGCCTCCCCCCTCCCGCCCACTGCTTT